AAAAGAGACACTTTTCTTGGACGCATCATCCCTTTTTTTTTCTTCGTCTTCCTCCGGGGATGCGGATGGAACTTCGGTACTCTCGAAGAAGACTCTTCAGAGTTTAGGTAGAAACTTCTTCTTCTCGGTTTGTTTTCGAACGAAATCGATGCGATTGTCTTACTGATTACTTCCTCGCGAATAACGCGAGTCTTTCTCTTTTCCGCGCAACTTTTTCTAATTTTTTTTCTATTCAATTCGAGAGCGAACAATTATAGCGTGCATCGAACAAATACAACGAGAATTGACGCGTATAGCGAGATTGATTTATTGCGGTCAATAAATAAACTCGTGTTTCGTATTAAATAACATTTATTTATTTTATGAACATCGCCTCGTGCAAACCGTATACAAAAATTGTATGCTCGAATTCTTTTTTTAAAAAGCAAACTCCCGTCATTCGAGGTAGAAATCATCGACAGGGGATAAAATCAATCTTTCTTGTATCCGAATATTTCGATATTCCATTGTTTCGTATATCTGAATTCCCCTGTACCGAAAATTATTTCCATGAAAATAAAAAACAGTGATAGAAGTCCGTTATATTGAAAAGAGCCATTCATCGATATGTAGAGATATGTAGGTCAGAAGATAGGACAACTACCGACAAGAACCGTGGATGATATTTTATCGAATTTCTGCCATATAATCTGTTACTTTTTCTTTTGGAATTTTCCCCTTGAATCTCGTGTAATGCTCCATAGGCTCTCCCGATCGGGAAATTTCGTTTCCTCGGGAAATGATGGTAGGAAGTGACAGGGAAAAAAGAAGCATCCATCGAGCGGATAAAACTGATAATAAGAGAACAAATTTCGGCTCGAACTTACGCTCGATCCAACACTGATTATCCACTCACGATCCATGCACGGTTCCGCTGTCGATCAAATGTTATTTCATTTAAATAGCATCGAGATTCGCTTTCGATCCGCGATCGATCCACTCTTAATCCACCACCGATCCATTTTCATCAGTTTATCGTTCGTCTTTGCTCCACCCTTGATCCGCTGTCGATCCACTTTTGGTCCGCTCTATGTTCTACGCTGTACGTTCATACAATACATCGTTTTCAAAATTCACTTTGCACGGTGTAAAGAAGCGAATGATACTTAATCGAACGAATAGCGGAAGCGAGTGGATATCGATAGCGTAGTTCTGGTCCAAAATAATTAGAGGGGAGACTCCATTACGAGTATCACGAAAATTACACTAATGATTTGGAATATTGAAACGGAGTAATTAAAATTAGAGGACATTAATGCGCGATACTCTTCGCGTAGCCGCACCAGATATGGCTATTTCCACGTATTTAGAACTTAATTATGGAAGATCATTAGTCGAAATTGGATCGAAAGAATTTTCATTATCCGTGCTCCAAACAGGGATGTAAAGTTTCATCGCCAGGGGGTTCGATGAAACTGAAACAGCGATTTCCATCGAGATAGAGAGAGATGCTTAGAGTGTCAACAGTAACAACGGCTTGGCAGCTTTCGAGCAGTTGGAAGTTCTACCGTTGGCCAATGATGAAAATACAAAGAAACTACGCGTATCGTCGGAGAAACTCGCAACAAACGAAAGAGCAAGCGAGTTTCTCTTCGATATTCGATATTCAGGAGGGAAAGAAGGATCGCGGAGCTTCTTGTTCGAAGTTTTACGTTGTTCCACGTAGCCTCCTTCGGATCTTCCGATTTTTATTTCGGTTTTACGACCGATGGAAAAAACAAACGGAGTAGAAGACGACCTGGACGAGAGAGGAATTCTCGATACGTCGAATCTAAACGCGAAGCAACTTGTAGATAATGGTACCGATTGTTTGTAGACGAAACAACCTCGACCCACTAGAACCGAGCATAATCGTGAACCATAGTAGCGATACGATCCGCGACTATTACAACCCTTGTTTCCGTTTTTCTCGTTCGTTAACCGATCATGCGTGTCCGAACTACAAAGCGATACAGTGGTAATAGAGCGACGAACAACATTGTCATCGCAAAGGGGTTAAGATCAGTTATCAGAAGCACGAGGTCTGTGTGTCAGGAATCCATTTGCCGGGATCAGACACGGAAAACAATGTATTCCTCGACACGGATACCGTATCGAATCTCGAGGCAGGCGGGGGCGTGCGAGTTTACGAGACTCGAATCGACTATAGATACATCCAGAATTCGATAATGGAATTCTAGGTCATCGGACAATCACGCGACACTACGGTGTATCGTTCCCTTTCTCTCTCCGTCTCTCCCTCTCTCTCTGGCCGTGTCATGAAAATTATGAAGTCAGTCAGTTTACGCGATCGGTTCGGGTAATTGAATGGCTTTCGGCCGAGTTTTTGCGACTCTTGTTTTATTTCCAAGTAAATTGACTGGCAGAGAACGGTACGAGCCAATTCAAACTTCGTATTTGATGTATCGTTGTCGGATGGGTTTCTTCTTCGAAGGCGAAATATTTTTCTTCCTGCACGTTTTTCATCCGCTTTCTTTCTTTTATCGATTTACTCTGTCCGTGAAATTCGCTTGACCGATGTATCTTTAATCCTTTCACTATTTCTATTATTTTAAATTTCAAAACGAATTTTCAAAGCTTCCTAAAGGATATAATTTTTCGACGTCGATTTCCTGAAAATCGTTACCGAGAAACTACTCGATCGCGGTGAACTCGTTCCGATATCGGCGAGGAAGAACAATCTGAATCGCAATTGCACGACGCGCTACTCGAAGGAAAGAATATCGTTGAGGGAAAGAGAACGAGGGGAAACGATTCTTTGGCTCGTTTCGTGAACGCACAGACCAATAAATTCATAAGAAGGAAACATTTCGTGCGAAACGCGACGTTTAACGACGCAAGGAACGTGAGTCGACTGATTCTCCCTTCGTTTATTTGTCTCTGGTGTCTCATTTCCCTACAAGAAACTGACGCTTATTACAGTCCCGGGAAATATTTCGTCTCATGTCCTTAAATACTGGAATTTCGAGAGCTCTTTTTGTCTCTTAAAGAGACCACCTTATATTATTTTCCTTCTCCGCTCGAACGTTTCAAACACCTCCAAGTACTTTCAGCCTTCGGTTCCCGAACACAAGTACTGTAAATGTACTAGACTTGCTGTCTATTCGACTTTGCGACCAAATTTTTCCTTTTTAACTACGTGCATCGTCCGCTAAATAAAAGACACATCTTTTCGAGAGTGTTTAGAGAGTCGTTTACAATAATACAGTGCATAAACGAGTTAAATTCAAAGTTTACGAAAGGTCGTAAATTTTCCACAATGAACATGATTTCCCACATGTCGTGCAATATACAGACTGGGTAGCTCGACTCGAGCACGTAGCTACCATCTGTTCTCTAGAATTTCAAAGAAAGTAGAACTTTTACCGTGGTACATTTGCCTTTGCCTGAAGATCGCGAGACAATAAGCGGAGCGCTGAAGAAGACACCGGAATGAAAAAAAGGAAGAAGGGTTGAGGAGGAAAGGGAATGGAGAGGAAATGAAATGAAAAGTCTAATAAGGCGTAGATGCAACCGATCGTGCTGCCTCGAAAGGGAACGCCTGACAAAAGCTGCTCGCATTCTTCGCCGTTTTTCCATCATCATCCATCGTCATCCATTTCCCGGCTTCTCTTATTTTCGCTGCTATTCGCCAGCTCTCTCCCGAGGGAAATGACGTTAAGGCAAGGAAAAGGCCTATGAGCGCTTTCGTAAATCTGACCTGACAGCGACTCTGTTCGAAATTAAACGAGACACTGCCGTTAGTGGATAAGCTTTCAAAAATACTCGACGACCAGTTTAATGCCGAGATAATATCGTGTAGCTCTTTGTTTCGTTAACTTGGCCAAAATAAATGTAATAAAGATTCGAAGACAATTTCGGTACGCGGAACGATTTTTGCGAGCACGAAAGGAAGTTCTCGAACGCGAGCCAACCTCGTTCGAACTCGATAATTAAAAGTTCTCGGTAATGCTCAGTCTCACGGAAAAACTTTATCCATTGACACGGTAATTCAGTGCGCAAGTTGGAGAATCTCGCGACGAGAAAGCCAGCTTAACTGGATCGCGCGCAGGATAATCTTGGAAAATTGGAAAAAGAGCCAATTAAAGGAATGATTTACGTTATGGCTCGGTGCGGCGTACCGCGGTAATTACGTACCGAATTATTTTACGTGATGTACAAAGACGAAGGCGCTCGGCGAGAAAACGAGAAGAAACATCATCGATCTCCCGTTGTAGTGGCTCGAAGAATACACTTGCTTTCGTTTATTCGCTAATATAAAGCGAGGATTCTTTTCCGCGATCGGTCACGACTCTTCCGAACCGTGAAAAGAAAACATTTGTTGCTTCAATGAACACTGCAATTGTTCCTTATTACAAACAATTGCGTCTCTTTTTCTCTGTCCGAAGCTCCACGACGGAAAAGAAAGTCTTCGCCGAAGGATGCGCCTCGAGATTAAAACGGCGAGGAAAGGTCGCGAACAAATTGAAGATCGGAACGTCGTCAAAGGCGGTGGAAAATAATTAAAAGAAAGTTTCATCCTTTCGAGCTATCTCGGATATCCGTTTCGCGAACGTTTCTCGGTGTCTTCGCGAGCATACCGAATCAATTTCCGGTTCAGTTTTCAAACGCCGAGCAAAAGTTGGAAGTCGCGTTTCACGCGTTCCAATCTCGATATATTGCAATCGATACCGTCGTTAGCGAGAACGAAACGAGGCACTTGTCGAACACAGAGAGGACACGCGAAATTTTCGAAAATTTCGCTCGATCGATTATAATAAATTCGACGACGACGCGACGGTCTAACGCGTATCGAAATTGTAAATCCGTTGCAGATATTTCCAATAATACGGACTTTTGCTTCGGGCAACTACGATCGCTGTATTTCTGTTTCTAATAGCCGCTCCTATCGATTTTCCTTCCTACGTCTTCTAAAACAATATCTCCTGTATTTTTGTAACCCCGTTCTCGCTATTTTGCAGCCTCGGATCTGGACTGTATCAGGGCATTGTTCAATGAAAAGGAGAAGGAGCTTTCGTTGGCTGTGGCGAAGGTCGAAGAGCTGACGCGACAGCTGGAGGAGCTACGAGGTCGACAAAACGGTGGTGGGACCGGAAGCGGAGGCGGTGGTGCCGGAGGCGTCGGCGGCGGAGGCGTCGGCGGTGCCGGCTCTGGACATTTGTCCACGCCAGCCAGCGCCGAGCTCGAAAAGCTTAGGAGAGAGCTTATGGTGAGCCCTTTAACCCTTTCCTCCTTTTGCCGATCCTTTTGCACACCACCCACGTCTACCCGCAACCGCTCGACTTCTGACTCGAACTCGCGGAGTAACCCCCGGGATCATTGTACCAGCTATTGCCAGCCCCGGATTCATTTGCAGTAAATTGTAACTGGTCGTACTGCGGCGGACATTCGGAAGCTCTACGGATACAGAGAACTTCGTGTCCATTTTAATAGGAGCTCGTAATTTACGAAAGAGACCGTTTCCGTTTTTAACAGACGCTGACTATGGATTTTCCGATATTTCTCCTTACTTTATTAAGGTTCGAGGAACACGCGCTCGTATACTAGTCGTTATACCATTAAAGTATAGCTGCATTACCTGCTTACTATTAAATAATTAATGAGACTCGATGTATCAATATAAAATTCACGAAAACAAATTCGATTTCGTTCTGTTCGTCGACAGTATCGTAACAAGATGAACGAGCAGCAGAACCAAATGGTGTCCCAGCAACGTTTGGCCCTGGCGCAACGACAAGCGGAAATGGCGTCCATCGACGCGAGGATAGCTCAACTTCAAGGTCGTCTTCAGCGTAAAAGAGCTCTGAACCAACGGCTCAGTCAGCAGCTAGGATCGGGAAATCGTAGCAACGCGAACACCGCCTTCGCGGACTCGAAGTTGGACTTCAACGCCGGGGGCAAGTCCAGACCAGCTGGTAACATAGCCGCGATCGAACCGTATTCTCATATACCGAACGACAACGACTTCAATCTGAACAAAAACGACCCGAAGTACCAGACACTGCCGTACAACACCAAATTCACCGTGAACTTTAAAGCTGCCGAGGATGACGTTAACAAGAACAAGATTCAACATTCGGCCAGTGCCTCGCAGCTGGGCCAAAGAGCGGCCTTCCAACAATTTGGTCACCAGATCGCTCATAGTCAATCGCAGTCGCATATTCAAGGTAGGGAATTAAATCGTATTAGTTTGGTAAAGAGGAATGGGCGCAGGGCATCTTTTGGAACTTTGGAATCGTTTAATTTCCGAATTTGCGTTCTCGAAGCCTAAGTTCGCGAATGTTCAACAAATTAATACCTGTTTCCAGGTCAGTCACAGATACTAGGGACAAACCAGCAGCACAACCAAAACATCGGAAACCAGCCTGTGAACATGCAGCAGACTTGCAACAACAACAACAATAATAATAACAACAATAATAACAACAATAATAATAACAACAACAATAACAGTAACAACGCGAACAACAATCTGATCAGCTCGTCCCATAACTTCAGTCCGGATGGATTGTCGCAGAACCTCCGGATTCACCATCAGCAGCAGTCTCAAACGCAGCAACAGCAGCACTCGAACATGCAACAGAAGCAACACAACGTAGGCTCGTCGACGTCGAATCTCGGCACAACGGTGTCCATCACTCAAACCCAAAATCATAGAAATCTACAGACTCATCAGAAACCGGTGTCCAGCGTGGCTCCGAGTTTCTCCGTTAAATCACAGATTTATCAAACCTCTTCCACCAAAATTCATCCGGTCATGCCTCAAACGTTGAGTCTGATAGGTCGTGGTCACACGAACGCGCAGAATTTCGCCAGTTTGAGCAACCAGAATGGCGGTCAACAGCAATCTAACCAATCCGTTCCGAGCAACCAGTCCAACCAGGAACAACAAACGTACGCGTCTAGGCACAATTACTCTGGAATGCAGCATTCTACCCAAACGAACACGCACGTATCCTCGTCGGTGGTGTACCAGTCTCAGAATTCTCCTAATCCGCCGAACAATCCGACGATCCACACCTCGTCCAGCGGAAGCAGCTTCGGTAACTCGGTCCAGAGGTACAACCAATCGCAATCACTGACCAGCCCCGTGTCCAGCAACGATCAGAACGACAAGATGAAATTCGAGCAAGGAAAAGGTCAGGAGAAGTTCGAACACGCGTTGTCGACCAAACACGAGCAACAGAGGTACGAGGCTAACTCGGTGTTCAAGTACGACCCGCATCAGATGAAGTACGATCACCCTAAGTACGATCAACACGGGAAGTACGAGCAGGCTAATCAGCCGACGAAGCTGTACGAGCAGTCTAACAAGCACGAGCAGACTGGTAATCAGACGAACAAATACGACAACGGGAAGATCGAGCAAACGAAGCACGAGCAAATCCACGGGGTCAAGTACGATCCCAATCAGAATACTCAACAGTATGGCAAGCACGATCAGCACGAAGTAAGACCTTCCGTGAAATACGAACACGGCACGGGCTTCAAACTTGACCCCTCGAATAAATACGAGACCGCGGGACAACAGTTCAAGCAGGAACCGGTCAAGTTCGAGAACAATCAAAACAAGTACGAGCAAACACCTACGACGAAGCACGAGCACAACGGAAAGTTCGACATTCCGACCAAGGCGTCCGATAAGACGTTCGAGTTCGATAGGCTGAAGAACGAGAGCGAGAGGAAGAGTCTGAACGAGATACGAGGAGAGGATAAGACGAAACCTGCGCTACCTCCCAAACCGAGTAAACCCAACCCTCCACCGAGACTGACCCATCACGAGAAGGTGGACAACGCGGACGGAATTGCCGACTGTAAAAACAACATAGGAATCAGTCCTAGGTTCGTGAAACCGTACACAACTACCCTCTTCAGCGTCGAGAGTCTAGAAAGAGTTCAGGGAAAACCTAAAAGTAACTTGGCGAAAGCTTAAAGGGAGTCTGGAAAGACTTTCGGAAAAGTTCGTAACGTGCTCGGGAGAATGCTAAAGGAAACTTAAAGATATTGTAGGTACCGCGCGGAAAATTTTACCGGGAACTTTCCTAGCTGAACCTGGGAGGAAATCTTAAAAGACTTTGAGGATCTAGGGAAATCGTAGGCAATTTTAAATCGCGTAGAAGAATTCTAGGGAACTTAGAACAATTCTGAATTCTAGAAAATCCTATCTAGATAACGAGTTGCAAATGTTAAGAATGTGAAAACCTAGCGCAAATTACCTCGACACAATTTCCGTGTCCTTTCGATTTCTTAGGTATTTTCACTTGAATTCGAGAGCGGATCGCGTTGCAACAAGCGTGTCATCGACTTTAAGGAGGAGAAAGCGAACGATCGACAAAGATTTCGGGCACAGAATGACAAAACGATTACCGGGTTAATTATAAATGTTAATTAGTCCGCGATCGATTTGGCCGGTGAATCGAAGCCTGTCTCGAATAATAGACACCGAAATAGAACGACGGCTGTGCCGTGGAGACAACAGTTTAGTGTTCGCGAGCTACCCAAACGATCGAGGCGGGATCTAACTTCTTGTTTTCTCGTTTCCTCCTTTTGTTGCCGCGATCGAACCGCGCGCTTTTCGTTCGCCGAACAAAGAGAACAAAATTGACGTGCTCGACTTACTAAAAATAAAAGATTTTCCGAACATCGAGTCACGTTCTGTTCGTCAACTTTCTGTCGCCGAGTAGAAAGTTTAAGTTTTAGTTTGCAAATACAGAGAGATCGATTCGAGTTAATCCGAGAAAAACGAGGTGCCTATTAAATTCCTTTTAACTCGAACGAATTTGTACGCTGTCGCTCGACAACTTGAACAGCGCTTCAAACTTGTGGTTGTCAGAAGTTTAAACGATTTCTCCCGTATTTCAAGTTGCTCTAGCACTTTCAGATCCAACTATGTAATATCACGCATCGCAGTCCTTTTAGGATATGTTTAACTAGGACCTGTCATCTTCAAACTCAACTGCGCATCGTCGCCTTTCCAAGATACGTTATAGTTGGCTCCGAACGTGCCGATTCCTAAGATCGCTTCTGTTTTCTTCCACTTTAATTCTTTAAGTGTTACGAGAGTGTTTAAACTATTCGCTGTTCTCCGATTCTTATATTTTTTATGAGAAAAAAATAATCCTCGGGTACATAAGTGTTACACGTACCCATAGAACGTTCACCAGTACTCTCGATTCGACGGTTAAAGCACCCTGTTCAAGTTATCGAAATAATTAGTTAATGGTCCTAATCCCGCTACATCCTCCGCAGGGCAGAGAAGGAAGAAGAAGTACCACCGATACCCACTTCGGAGCCACCAGAGTCACCCACGGAAACACAATTCGCGAACCATCAAATCATCAAGGCTAGGCCTCTGACCCTGAAGAAGGCACCGATCTCCGAGCAACCGAAGCTACGTTACGCCAAGTCGAATGTCCACGTGTCGATAAACCGACGGATTGAGATGCCACCGGCGTTCCTGTTCCCCGAGACCGAAATTCCAGCTGACCTGATGCAACAAACGGAGCAACAACAGACTCAACAACAGCAGCTCATCGACACTACGGACAACTGTAAGAAGAGCAACGCGTTGATCAACGAGGATGCTCTCAACAACGAGAAACTCGAGGAAGCGGACATCATCGACGCGTTGAACGTCATCAACATCGAGGACAAGGCGAAGAAGGATTCCGAGAGACGAACGACGGAAACCGAAGTGGAGAGCAAGAGCAACGAAGTGATGAGGAGGAAAAAAGGAAACCTAAAGTCTAGCACAGGAAAGGCGAACCTCTCGAGGAGGGTGTCCTTCGATCCTCTGGCTCTTTTGTTGGACGCCAGTCTCGAAGGCGAGCTGGAACTGGTTAAGAAGACTGCCAAGGAGGTGGCGAATCCCAGTTCAGCGAACGACGAAGGCATCACGGCGCTTCACAATGCCATTTGTGCCGGTCACCTGGAGATCGTTATGTTCCTCGTTGAATTCGGCTGCGACGTGAACGCGCAAGACAGCGATGGCTGGTAAGGGGAAAAAATTATGGCTGTGCTTCCGAATGACATTAGTATTTCGCCAACATTGCATTATTCAGAGTTGCCACTAAAACTTCTTACGAAGAAATCCGTTTCGTAATATTATCGGTTTCGACACTGTTCGATTTCTGTTGTAGGACTCCGTTGCATTGTGCCGCAAGTTGCAACAATTTGTCGATGGTGAGATTCCTGGTGGAGCATGGAGCTTGTATATTCGCCACCACTCTCTCCGATCATGAAACTGCCGCGGAGAAGTGCGAAGAAGATGAGGAGGGCTTCGACGGTTGTTCGGAATACTTATACAGTCAGTATAATTATCTTCAGGATGAACAAACGACCCTTCGAGTCCTTCCAGTTAGTTGGAACAGTTGGGGTAAATTTTGCATGGTTACAGGTGTTCAAGAGAAACTTGGTATAATGAACAACGGCCAAGTATACGCGGTGTTTGATTACGAAGCGCAACACAGCGACGAGCTCACGTTGAAGAACGGTGATTCTTTGGTCGTGCTTCGAAAAGGCGACGACAACGAGAGGGAGTGGTGGTGGAGCAAACTGGGACACAAAGAAGGCTATGTACCTCGAAATCTACTTGGCGTAAGTTGCGATAATCGTTTAACGTTTGTCGATTATTTTTTTGATACGTTATAGTTGTATTCATTTTCAACCTCTTGAGGACCATTTAGATATCCGATCATTAAGATCCTCTCTTATGCAGCGATCTGATTTCAAATCGTTTAATTTCAGCTGTATCCAAGGGTGCAACCGGCTAAAGTGGACTGAGACGCGTGTCGGCCATCGGACTCGCGATATCCGACGATTCATTACCACAGTATTCGATTCGCAGCTTTATCTCGTTAAGTATCATAGTTACATCGTCACGTCACGAATCGTTATCTTATTTAATCGCGTCCCATTGTCATCCTGAACAAAGCGAACAAAATGTTCTATATATACATATGGTTTTTTATATTTTATAAGACGAAATCGCATTGTATTGCTAATGAGCCCGGATCATGGGTTGTTGTAAGTTATTCTCGTTGACCCTTTCGCTGTGGACTCCGTGTATTCTCCTCGTTAAAAATCGACTGATTAAATGTTAATCTTGGCGAATCTGGGACAATCGTAACCCAGACTTTTAAAGTATATCATAAAATGGTGCTTCGACTAATTAAGCACTGAAACTTTTCTATAAAAAGATGCATATATATGTATATGCGCGTAAATTACCAATCACAGCAAAACTTTTCCCCAAGACCAGTAAAATAAATATTAAATAAATTATTAACACAATGTTAGCCACAGCGAAAATGTTTAAGAATTAGACCATTCGTCGATGTTGTTCGGTGAACAATTCATGAATTCAATTCGGTGAATTCATCGTTCGCATTGAACGCGTGAAAAATAATTGTGTAAAAGAACTACGTGACGAACAATTAGAGTATAATTAATTAGCACGAATGATATACGAAAACTAAATGACACGCGCAAAGTACGTATGATCGCTCTCACACTCGCCGTATTCGAAAACGTGTAAATCGTATTAGGAGAAAAATAAGAAAGAAAATTTATCAACTAGATACTTGGTAATTTTAACTAGAATAATTTGCAGCGTAACGACTACGAATGTCCCACAAAATTATTTATCGTTGGTCAGTTCCTTCAATGAGACGGTACAGAAAGTGATATTTGTGGTAATACCGCTTTTAGATTTGAGGTAGTTCAGGATTGAAATATTTTAATCTAGTATTCATTGAGGCGAAGATCATTTAAGAAGTTTCTGTTCTTCGTTAAAAAAGAATGAATGAAAATTGATGCATACGTTTGTTTCCATTATGATGCAATTTTAATTAGTTATAAATATCATTTAACCGTACAATCGTTTACGAGTGCAATGTAAGCTTCCTTTAAATAAGAAACTAAAAATTTATAATTTTTCGTGCGTGTACATCAATTCTCAAGATTCGTCGAAAGAAAGATCGTGAAACTTTTTAAATGATCCTCTAGGGACTGTTTAAACTTTACTTGAAACGTTTAATTTGTTTCACCTAAATGTTTTTATTTAGATGAAGTCAAATTATTGTTGCGAGCATTGTTACGTTTATTCGTCAGTGAAATTTTCCAAATCCGACTCGGTTAATTTCGGATTTCGAAAATGTTCCTAAGAATGTATAACATAATCTTGCCAATACGCACTTTAAAGCAATTTTGTAAGGAGCGCGCGAACGGAGATTGTAAAGGATTTCGACGGTGGTAATTAACGACACAAACGCCTTTTCGAACGTTTCCTTTTTAATTTTTCCTTTTTTTTGAGCGATGCCACCAATGATTCAAGAATCTCTAATAAAATGACTTGACACACACTTGACTAGACTTGTATAATTAATGATTATTGCCTAGGACAGATTGAAATGTTTGGATCAGAAAGATTCTGAGCGCGTCGTTGTACTGTTAAAAAATGTGTACAGGTATATGCGAAAGATGTTAACACAGCCTCAGAACATTTCTGATATTCACTTCGTAAATAAAGTATGTGCCTTTCAAGAAGTAATAATGGATATATTATGTAAGAATGCATGATATATTATGACGAATAAATTGTTTTTAATAGAAACCATTTGCCCATGTATTCGTATTTATTGTCATGAATGTGTACAGACCAAGTCAACGATACTAACAAGGTAAGTAATTTAAACAAATAAAAAGATAAAATTCTAATAAATACCTTAAAATCAAAAATAGTCACATCTATTTTGAGTTACAAGAAAAAAATAAGTTAATTTGTACTGAGAACATACCACACCTTTCATTAGCGATATTTTCATTTGCATACAAATTATCACTGCAAAGTTTAAAAAAAGTCAAACGTTTCAAAACACGGCTATAAATCTCATGCAAATATTTGCAGTTATATAATATAATATAAAAATATCATTGGAAAACATTAAATATCCTTACAACTAATGCATTAATACTATTCTGTGTAAATCTCATGATGAAACTGGAAACTTACTATAAAACAATTTAGTAAAAAAACAAATATGGCTGATCTAACAAATAAGAATTGTTGGATCCTTTACCGACTCCTTGCATCACAAACATTGGAATTAAAATTTATATGAATATTAAAAACATACATATGTATTGATGTATGTTAACAATTATACGTATGGCAACTATACCCTTAACGACCGAAAAAAGAATGTTCAAATTTAATTATGTTTTGCTTCGTTTATTAACTGCAAACAAATCTTTATGTCATCGCAATCAGTAACCATAGTGTCGAATCTATAAAAAAAAAAATAAATTATAACATTCACATGCTATACTATAATGATTATATCTGTACCTGCTAGAAAACATATCCAATGCAGTGTCTGCAAAATTTCCCTTTCTTAATGCTTGAACGCAAAAGTGTGTCAAATTTTTAAAACATTTTTTCGTGAAATTACAAAGATTCTGATTTCCCCAATCTTGCATCTGTTTTGTAATATTCCATGCTGCATATACATAGTGCATTACAGACATCCAGTGCTGTGATTCTACAAGTCTCTTTCCCTGATCAATAATAGCTTTCTATGACCAAATAAATATATGTTAAAAATAAGAAACAAAATCAAATACATAAGGACTGAAAATGTCACACCTGATAAGCATCTAAATGAACATAAGCATGATTACTTGCTAAATCATCCAAGTTAGATGACATCATACTAATACGAATATTTTGTTTTAAACTATTTAATGTATCAATTAATGGTTGTATATCTGCCACTGGCATTTTTTTTAACAAAAGATTAGATATTTTTTCTCCTTCGTGTAGAATACCATCTTCTTGCATTGACACCAAGTCCATAATCATTTGAACTAACTGTTCGTGACTAAGTCCTCTTAAACCATTCAATAAATTGCCAGTATAATGTCTCTGTCCATTGTTACTATCTAATAAACCTTGTGGTTTTTTCTTCTTCTCTGGTGTCGTAAACCCAGTTTCATTGGCATCGCCAAGAGCAAGTCTTTTTCTAGGTGTACTTCTTAATACCATGCTCGACTTTGAGGGACTTTTCACTGGAGTACGATCTCTGGAACTTAAGCTGTTACAAATTTAGTTGTATTTTTATATAAATATTTTTGGAACAGATCATTTAATAATATTAAAAGGACCTCAGGCAACCGACATTATCAGTTGGTCGACAATATCTATTGGTTATGCATCAATATATTCTATTACCTGAACAGGCTATTTCTTTTGCAAGTATCAAGATCAGGAGACCAAACAATAGTCCTACAACGACGTCCACGCTTTTGGATAACTAATTCATCTGGGCTAGGTGCAGGACTCCAAGAATCGGAGCCTTGTCGACTGTTTAAAAAATTATCCATTGCATTAACTTCAGTAGAAATGGCTTCTCCTAAAATACATGAATTGAAACTAAAAAATCAAACACAAGATAATGATGGAAGTATAGATTCTTGAACCACACCAGGTGATGCTTCAGCATTGTTGACAGGAATCACGGCTAAAGCTTGCCGGGAGGATCTTCTCCGTGTTCCATTTGGTCTTCGTAAAAAATCTCTTGTCGTTGGAGTATTCATGTTTTACATGGAACGAACAAGTCTCGTTTAAAAATCCGTAATTAACTTGTTTCTTTCAAGTAATGATTACTTAAATATGGAACGTGAAATGTCCATTCCTCTTACTTGACACTAACACGATACTGATTTCTTACATGTGTCACTAACAAATTAATGAAATTATTATGTAAAACACATTAAAAATACATGTGATGTCACAGAAAATAGAAAAAATATGAAAACACAATCATAGTAATGCGTCAAACATGGCTTTAATAAACAGTGTCAGAAATGGCGGGAACGAAGCGCACTGGCCCGTTCCGACATAAACTAACACTAACCTGTTGCATTAAACGTGTGAAAGTGTGAACGAACTTGCTGGTGGGAATCTTATTGAAGTTGGCCACGTTGCACATATCGAGTATCATGGCCCGAATAATTTATACAATTTATTTATATTTCTGTAGCATTTTAGATACTTGGAATAAAAATTGTTATTGTGTTTTAGTAGAGCCAATAACAATAAGTTAATAAATATTTGACACTAAACAAATAATAGGGAAATCTAGAACTCTACATTTCCATTTACTGCCATTTAGTAAATGAAAGAACTAGAGAGGATTGGGGAGAACCCAATTGCACCCAGTTGAGTACTATGGTTATGCGCATGGTTCATATTAGGTTATATTAAACACTTATTAAAAACACTGTATTGTTTGATACAATTGTAAATTTTTACAATAACAATAAAGTAGGTATAAAAGTTTATTGAACAAATAAAACATACAAATGATGCATGTGAAAATATGCGATGTTGTATATTTATTTATTTATTTATTGCAGCATGGATGAACTATTGCACGATAAACGATTTGCACATATTGCAAGGGATCCTAAATTTAAAAGGATCCCAAAATCAGAAAGAAAAGTGCAGGTAGATAAAAGATTCCAAAGTATGTTTAAAGATAAAAAGTTTCGAGTTAATTATACTATTGACAAACGAGGTAGACCAATAAGTCAAACATCCTCTGAGAATCTTAAAAAATACTATAATTTGCCTACAAGTGAAGAGGAAGATGATGATGAAGATGAAGAAAAAAACAAAGAACAGAAACAACAATTGAAAAAAGGCAAATCTAAGAAACTTAAACAAAAAGAGAGTAAAGAACATAAAATAATTAAGTCCAAAGAAAATAATAATAAGAATGATATAAGCAATGAAGATCAAGATGATGATGACAATTGTTTCTCAAGCAATGGAGAATTGCTTCGTATTAAACCAAAAGAAAAAACTCATACACATTCTGAAAAGCAGGAAAAATCTAAATCTAAATCTGAATCTGAATCTCAGTCTGAGTCTGAGTCTGAGTCTGAGTCTGAGTCTGAATCTGAGTCTGAATCTGAGTCTGATATAGATAGCACAAACATAGACAACCTAAAAGCAGATTTGAAAGAAAGTAAAAAGCAATTGCGTATTATAGAAAAAGATGAGTCTAATAAACTCACTAAAAAAGTTAAAAAGAAGTTAAGAGATTTAACTGTAAACTATGCTAGAGGTGAAGGACTTTTATTAACAGATAGTTCTTCTGATGAAGAAAGTTCTGAAGATTCTGGTAATTATTATTAATAATTTTTTAGTGACTATCTAGGTAGTAGAAATTATACATATCTAATAAATATTACAATTATACCTAGAAGAAGAAGAGATTGAACACAATTGGGGAGAATTAGACAAAGAAGCTGAAACAACAGATGAGGTTACACGTAGATTAGCAGTTTGCAATATGGACTGGGATAGAGTTCGTGCTGTAGATTTAATGGTTTTATTCAATTCTTTCTTACCTAGTGGAGGTTTCATTAAGTCAGTTACGGTAAGAGTAATTAATAATCTAACAATATTAATACATATGTTGATCTTTAAAATAAAATAATTTCAGATTTATCCATCAGAATTTGGTCAACAACGTATGAAAGAAGAGGAGATTAGTGGTCCAAAAGAGCTAACAGAATTAAGTAAAGAAAGGGAGATTGAAGATGAAGATGAAGATGATGTATAATTTTTAATTTGGTTAATAATATATGTTGACAATTAGTAACATAATTTAACAGTTAAATTTTGCAGAATGAGGAAGGATCAACATATCATATGGAAAAATTAAGACAGTATCAATTGAACAGATTGAAGTATTATTATGCAGTTGTAGAATTTGATTCAGCTGAAACAGCAAACAAAATTTATACTGAGTGTGATGGCACAGAGTATGAATCCACATCAACTAGATTGGATCTCAGATTTATACCAGATAATATGGATTTTGATCAGGTATATTTTTTAATCGTAAAGTATATTAAATATATTCATTATATGTGACCTTAGATGCCTGCTTTAAGACTCCCAAAGAAGTCTGTGATAAGTTACCAGAACCTTCAAAGTATCAACCGAGGCAGTTTACTACTACAGCATTGCAGCAAGTTAAGGTAGAGTTAACATGGGATGAGACAAATCCTGAAAGATTAGAACTTACACAAAAGTTAAATTCCGGAAAATTAAATGAAGTCAATAAGAATGATTTACAAGCTTATTTAGCTACTGATAGTGAATCTGATCCAGGTAAACTATTTTCTATATAATGTTATATTTGCTCATTTAATGCATTATATCGCTGTATTGTTCTATTTGTAGAGAATAAAGAAGAGCAAAACGAATCTAAAGAAGAAAAAAGTGATTTGGAATCAGAAAAAAATATTGATCCAGTGGAAAAATATAAAGCTTTACTGAAAGAAATAGAAGAAAAGGAAGAAGCAAAACAGAAAAAAGACGTTGAATTAGAATTTACGTGGGGCTTAGGTACAGAGGAGAAAGCTGAAAAGTTAGTAAAAGAAAGATTAAAGAAAGACGAGAATCTAACACCATTTGAACAATATTTGGAAAAACGTAAAGCAAAAAAGAAAGCTAAACGAGAAGAACGAAAAAAACTTAAAAATGCAGATGAAAATGCATCCACAGATTCCGAAGATTCTGAAAAAATGGATTCAGATACAGATAATGAGGGTAAAAAAGCTAAAAGTAATAAATCGGGTCGCAGAAAGAAAAATGACCTAGAAAATGGCAGTTTAAATTCATCAGATGATGATGAAGAACGACGAAAAGCGGAATTAGAACTTTTATTAATGGATGAAAACGATGACGGTAAACGGCACTTTAATATGAAGAAAATCGAAGAGAATGCTACGATGACAAAATCTAAACAAAAACGACTCAGTAAAAAGAAAAATGTTCAAGATCCAGTACAGGAAGATAACTTTGAAGTAAATGTACAAGATCCAAGATTTAATGCATTATTCACATCGCATTATTTCAATATAGATCCGGCAGATCCACATTATAGGAAAACAAAGGGCACAGAAGCCTTAATTAAAGAAAAATTAAAACGAAGAGCGGAAAATGATCCTAGCAACGTAAGTAAAAATTTATTTGATATTGTGTTATATGATAATTCTAGTACATTACATTTTATTACAATTTTTAGGAAATAAAAGCTAAGGAGCCAAAAATGAAGTCTAATGCAGAATTACAGGCATTAATTAAGTCGGTAAAAAAGAACGCAACAAATATTTCACGACCAATAAAATAAATATTTTAATATATATTCTTACATTAAACAGATAGTTATCCTAACAATAATTGTATACTTTGTTTTACACAGCCATTGTACATTTTCTTAGTATGTGATTTATTTAAAAAGAATAGAAGAAAATAATTTTGTATGTTTTGTATGTTTCCTTTACTCTAAATATGTATACTGAATCATATTGAACTAGTAAACCAATCAGAAACTGAATCAAAGAGTAGGGACGAAACTCTACTCTGTGCCTGAATAGTATAGTTTGTGGTACAGCTACCTCCCAACATAATCATTAGTAATTTTTGTTTATCCCTATACGAAAAAACAATACCGTTTTAACGATAAAAAAATATGTATTTAATGATCAATAATACAATTAAAGATTGCAATAAAATATAAGAATAAACTTTCATATTTTTCTAAAATAAGTAGCAATTATAGTTCCGTTTTATCACCAATCAAATTTATTATATATTAGTTGCTTTTCACTATAGAACAGATGCCTCTTCAAGCAGTGATCTGTCGATAAGCAACTAAACAAAAATTGGTAATAGAATCTGTAATAGCAAGAACTTGAAGTGTATATAGTTAATGCAACTAAACACATATAAAAATAACCCCATATGAACTATGGGTTTAATATATCTGCTTGGAAAATGTTTTGACTAATAAAGAGTTGATGTAATCTGTTCGTGTGTGTAAAGAAGATCGTGAAAGAGTGATGTGGGAAGCCGGTACGTTTCCTATTTGTTGCTGTTCTGCTTAAACTTACCATGTCCAATATTTTAAATATTTTTACATCACTACAATTGTAGTGGAAATAGATACCAAGACACCTGTGATATAAGTGAAAAGAATGGAAGATCCAAACGAAAATCTGGATAGTTCTGATGTGAACAAAGGGGTGGAATCACCACTTGGAATAGAAATGAAATTGTCAAAGAGCAACTACCCATCCAGCGTTCACTCTGAAGTTTCAGACGAAGCCAGAGAATTGGATGCTCTTTTGAATGAAGATGATATAAAATTGATAAATGCAGGGGGAACATCTATAGATGGACAGGAACCAGTGGAAGAATCAATGGAAACTATGCTTGAAGCTTTGCAGAAAGTTGAATCGCTTATTGGTATGGACATTGAAACTTCTAATATTGACTCATCTATATTACCTGTAGAAAACCAAGAACAATTAGAAGAAGCTATATATACAGAGGAGACACCAGATACAATGATATCTTCAATGCAAATGGAAATCGAATTGTCTGAAAACAAGGATGTTCCTTCAATACAACCAGAATTGCAAGATCTTTTGAAAGAGCATAATACAGACAATGAACAAACACAGTTGCAAGAGGAATTAGAAGATTTGTACGATTCGCAAGAAGAAGCTGAGTCTCCTGTAAAGATAGAAATTAAAGTATCTGATAATGAAGATGACTTGGCTACTTTGGCAGATCTACCAGAAGAAAGCAAAGAAGTAATAAAAACAGATGTTATGTTAGGATTATCACCTGAAGTTCCAAAAAGTGTTAAATCACCTAATGAAATGTATGTTGAATTGACAGAAGCAGAAACAGAGACATCTTTAGGCTTTGATGAAAATACAAAAGATTTGGAAGAGAAATTGGAAGTTTCTGAAGGTTCTAAGCAATCAGTAACCGCTGAAGTGGAAGTTGAATTGTCCAAGTATGAGGATGAATCTGTCATTGTCTCGAAAGATTTAGATGAAATTAAAGACACAGATACAGAAACAATATTAGACAATCAGGAACCACTTGATATTGACTTAAGCACTATTAAATCATTAGATATTTCATCTGAAGTAAAAGTAGAGGTAACAGAATTAGAAAGAATACCTTTAAGTATACAAGAATCGGTTGAAGAACCTGTGCAATCTGTACAAGAGATTTTGAAGATACCTGTAGATGTAGTGCAAGAAAAAGTTGAAGAATCTGTGGAAGTCACAAAAGAGATTTTGAAAACATCTGAGATGCTTTTTATTGCTACAGAAAAGCAAGAAACGACAGACCCAAGTAATTCACTTTTAGAATCACCAAAAGAAATAGAGTCTGTGGTTGAACCTAACACTGAAGGTTTAAAAGATGAAGGTATCTCAACAACAGGAATAGAACAGACAATTGTTGCAGAACAGAAGGATAATGAACAATCACAACCCATCAATGAATTAAAGTCATTTCATGATAGCCCAAAGGAAACTAATTTATCTTCAGAAATGGAGATTGAACCGTTAAAGACTGATGTAGAGTTGGATGTTTCTCCAGATTTTCATGATCAGACCAAAGAACAGAATAAATTAGAAGAAAAATTAGAATCACCTCCTGAATTTTCAAAAACAACTGAAACCTCAGTTGAAATGGAAATTAAACTAACAGAAGCAAAAGAAGGAGATTCTATTGTTTCAACAGAAAAATCAGAAGATCCAGAAAAAAACGTAAAAACTCTTAATCCTCCTGAACAAACTAACTCAGCAATTGAAGCAGAGATGAAACTATCCAAGACAGATGACATATCTGTCCTACAGCCAGATATTGAAAATGAACCTGAAAATGTGAAAGAAGAGGATGAGATTAACACAATTCAAGATGCACAGAAATTGTTGGAGGAATCTGAAATGAAAATAAATTCTGAAAAGACTCCAATAGATGAACAAGAACCAGTGGATGAATCTATGGAAACTATGCTTGAAGCTTTGCAAAAAGTTGAATCACTTATTGACATGGATATGGAGACATCTACTATAGATGATGCATCTATACCATCTATAGAAACTCAGGAACAATCAGAAGAAACATTATATACTGAAGAAATATCTAAAGCAGTGGTATCTCCAACTGAAATGGAAATTGAGTTATCTGAAAGCAGAGACATTACTTCGATACAACCAGAATTACAAGATCTTTTAGAAGAACACAATAGGAATAGTAAACAAGCAGAACTAAGAGCAGAGTTAGAAGGTTTGTATGATTCACAAGGAACAACTGAATCTCCTGTAAACATGGAAATTAAGGTATCTGATACTGAAGAAGATTCAGTTACTTCAAGGGATATGCCTGAAGAAAATATAGAAGCAATCAAAAGTGATGTTACATTAGAGCTAATGCCTGAAGTTCAAAGTAGTGCTAAATCTCCAACTGACATATACAGTGAATTAACTAAAATGGAAATTGAAACTCCTTTAGTCTTAGATGAAAAAACGGAAGATTTGAATAAAAAATTGCAAGTTCCTGAAGTTTCTATGATGCCAGAATCGCCAGCTGAAATGAAAGTTGAATTATCCCAGTACAATAATGAGTCAATCACTCAGTCAGAAGATTTGAACAAGATTGAAGACAAACAAGATGAAGAAGAAAAGCTAGATAATCAGGAAACAGTTCATACAAATTTAAATGAAGACAAATCATTGGAGACTCCACTTGAAATGAAAGTAGAACTAGTAGAATCAGAAGAAACACTTGCAACTGTACAAGAACCAATTGAAGAATCCACAGAGATTACACAACTGAGTTTAGAGATACCTGTAACTGTACAAACACCAGTTGAAGAATCTATTGAGGCTACCCAAGACATTCTGAAGACACCTATAATTATACAAGAACCAGTTCAAAAATCTATGGAAGCTACTCAAGAAATTGTTAAGGCATCTGTAGATGTACAAGAATCGATTGAGGAATCCATGGAAATCACCCAAGAGATTCTGAAGACATCTGAAAATATACAAGAACCAGTTGAAGAATCTATGGAAATCACCCAAGATAAACAAGAAGAATCAGAAAAAAATGATTTTCCTTTAGAAGAATCTGAAAAAATAAAGTCTCCAACTGAATCTACTATTCATGATTCAACAAATGAAGACATTTCAACAGTTCAATTGAAAAAGCAAGTTACTGTAGAAGAACAAGATGATAATGTAGAGTCACAACTAAAAGAGAAACTAGAATCATCTTGTGTGAGTCCTGAAAGAACCGACTCTCCTTCAGAAACGGAAATCGAGTCATTAAATATTGAAGATAAATCAGTTCTTTCTCTGGATCCTCATACAGGGGACAAAAACATTGATGAGATAGAAGAGAAATTAAAATTGCCTTCTGAATCTTCAAAGAGAATTGAATCCCCAGTTGAAATGCAAACTGAACTGACAGAAGCAAAGGAAGAAGCTTTTATGACTCCTATGGAAAAGTCAGACCTCCAGGAAAACTTAGAATTGTTTAATGCTTGTAAAGAACTTACCTTATCAGTTGAAACAGACATAAAATTATCCAAGGCAGATGATACACCTATTAGTAAGCCAGTGATTCAAGATGAACCTGAGAATGAGAAACAAAAAGAAGATATTGTAACTCAAGATACACATGATTTATTGAAAGAATCTGAAATAGAAATGGACTCTAACCAGATGCCGGTAGATGTACAATCATCAGTGGAAGAATCTGTGGAAACTATGCTTGAAGCTTTGCAGAAAGTTGAATCTCTTATCAGCACAGATATGGAGACTTCTAGTATCGGTGATTCATCTGCATTACCTACTAAACAAGAACCCTCAGAAGACTCTGAGCCTGTTTTGAGAACACCTAATGTGGAGGTATCTTCATTTGAAATAGGAACTGAATTGTTAGAAAACACTGCTACCTGTTTAATACAATCAGAAGAGCAAGATCTTTTTAGACAACAGGTAGAATTGCAAGAGGTATTGGATACTTCATTTAACTCACTAAATCCCCTTGAGAAGATGAAAGTTGAGGCATCTAATAATGAAGAAGATTTAACTACTTCTAAAGAACCAAAAAATTTACCAGAGCAGACTAAAGAAGTATCTAACATGGAAAACACGTTGGAGTTATCACCTGAAATTGCAAAAAATATCAATTCTCCTATTAAAATGGACATCGAATTGACTAAAACTGAGGCCGAGATTTCTACAATGTCAAATGAAAACTTGAAGAATTTGGAGAAACAATTGGAAGTTGTTACAGATGATAAATTGTCAGAATCGTCGAAGGAAATGGATATTGAACTATCCAAGTGTCATGAAGTTCAATCAGAACATTTGGATGAAACCAAAAATACAAGTTCAGAAAAAGAACTAAATAGTCAGGGACCACTTGATATAAATTTAAATACAGATAAATTATTGAACATTTCACCTAAAATGAAAGTAGAGGTGACAGAATCAAGAGAAGCACTTGCCAGTATGCAAGAATCAGTTGAAGAATCCATGGAGATCACTCAGGAAAGTTTGAAGGAAACTGAACCCTCCATTAATATAAAAATTAAGCTTTCTGAAATTGGCACAAGAAGTGTAGAAATGCAAGAAGAAACAGATGAAACTAAATCTGTTCTTAAGGAACCAGAATCTCTAATTGAACCAAAAGTCAAAGTTTCAAAGAGTGAAGATACCTCTATGGCACAAGCAGAACGGCAAATTGTTGCAGAAGAACAGAAGGATAATACACAGTCAAAGGAAAAGTTAGGATCATCTTGTGACACTCCCAAGAGAACCAATTCTCCTTTAGGGATGAAGATCAAGTTATTCAAAACTGGAGATGCTTCTATTATTCCATTGGATTTCCATGAAGAGCCCAAAGAGGCAGGTAGAATGAAAGACAAATTAGAGTCATCTTCTGAATCTCCAAAGAGAACAGAGTCTCCAATTGGAATGAAAATTAAATTAGCAAAGACGAAGAGTGGAGCTTCCATAATTCCAATAGAGAAGTCAGAAGATGCAAAAGAAAATCTAGAAGCTGCAGATGTTGCTAAACGTACTGATTCACCCCTTGGAATGAGAATCAAACTTTCAAAGACTGGTGATGCGTCTATTATTCAATCAGAGATTCAGGACGAGAATAAGCACACAAAACATAAAGAAAAGGTGGACTCAATTCAGGATGCAGTAAAAGTATCGGAAACATCATCGGGAATGAAACTAAGGTTGATAAACACAGAAGAGACAACTGTATTAAAAGAAGAGCAAATGGAAGAAATGCAGGAAGTTTTGCCAAAAGTTGAATCTCCTATTGGTATGAAGATTAGGCTTTCTAAGTCCGGTGATGCCGCTATTATACCCCCAGAAAAGCAGGAACATACAGAAGAAGCTAAGAGAATAGAATCACCGCTTGAAACAAAAATCAAGACTGCAATGCAAGTAGAAGGACAAAGTACTTCAGAAGAACACAATAGGGATAATGTATACATAGAACCAAAGGATAAATTAGAAACATGTTATGGTTCTCCAAAAAGAACTAATTCACCTATAGGAATGAAGATCAAACTGTTTAAAAGTGGAGATGCCTCGATTGTCCCTTGCAGTTTATCTGAAGAAAGTAAAGAGTCAAGTAAAATGAAAGACAGATTATGTATGTCTTCTGAAGTTCCAAAAAGAACAGACTCTCCAATTGGGATGAAAATTAAATTGGCAAAGACAAAGGGAGGAGCTTCAATAATCCCAATGGAAACATTGGAAGACCCTAAGGAAAGCTTAGAAGTACCTGATGTTTCTAAACGAACAGAATCTCCTCTTGGAATGAAAATTAAATTGTTCAAAAGCGGTGACGCTTCCATTGTTCATTCTGAAATTTCTGAAGAAGTCAAAGACACCAAGCAAAAAGAAAAGTTAGAAAATAAAGGAAAAATTGATTTAGTTCATGAGGCATTATCTGGAATAAAAATGAAGGGAACAAAGGTGGAGGCATTAGCAGCTTCACAGGAATCCCCTGAAGAATCCATGGAACCTGTACCAGAATCTTGGCAAAAGGTTGAATCTTCTATTGGTATGAAAATTAAACTTTCCAAATTTGGTGATGCATCCATAATTCCTGTAGACAAGCAGGAGCATCATGAAGAAACAAAATCTATTCAGGAAATACCTAAGAGAACTGAATCTCCTCTTGGAATGAAGATCAGACTATCAAAGACTGGAGATGCTTCTATAATACAACCAGAATGGTTAGACCATTTAGAAGAACACAACAAAGATCACGCACAATCAAAACCAAAAGATAAATTGGATGCTTCATATGATTCTCCAAAAAGAACTGGTTCCCCTTTAGGAATGAAGATCAAGTTATCAAAGACTGGAGATGCATCGATTGTTTCTTCGGATTTGCCTGAAGAAAGCAAAGCAATGACGAAATTGAAAGATAAATTGGAGTCGTCCCCGGAAGTTCCAAAGAGAACCGAATCTCCGATTAGTATGAAAATTAAACTGGCAAAAACAAAGAGTGGAGCTGCTATAATATCAATGGACAACACCGAAGATTCAAAAGAAAAACTGGAAGTTCCTGATATTCCTAAGCGAACAGAATCACCACTTGGAATGAAGATTAAACTTTTCAAGAGCGGCGATGCGTCCATTGTTCACTCGGAAATCGCCGAAGAAGTTAAAGATGCAAAACAGAAGGAAAAAACAGAAAACTGGGAAAAAGTTGATGTATCTCAAGATGCAGGTAAATCATCAGAGACTTCTGGAATGAAAATAAAGGTCATCAAGTCAGGAGAGACGCCGATAATTATGCAGGAACCGGTGGATGAATCTGTAGAAACTACCTCAGAGTCTTGGCAAAAAGTTGAATCTCCCATTGGTATGAAAATCAAGCTTTCCAAGTTTGGTGATGCATCCATAATACCTGCAGAAAAGGAAGAACAACCAGAAGAAGGTAAATCTACACAAGAAGTACCCAGAAGGACAGAATCTCCTCTTGGAAGGAAGATTAAATTCTCTAAGACTGGGGATGCTTCTATTGTACCATCTGAAGCAATAGAAGATGGAAGCAAGTTAATTCGAACAAATGACACAGAGCATTCAAAGCCTGTTGACACTGCATTAGGTATGAAAATAAAATTGCTGAAAACAGGAGATGCTTCTATAGTGGATTCAGAGAAGAAAGAAAGGCAGCAAAGACGTCAAGATACTGAAACACCCTTGGAAATGAAAATCAAGCTATCTAAGACTGGACATGCTACAATTGTAGCCTATGACAATCAAGGGGAAGCTATGTATAAACAAAAAGAAATTACAGATTCATTGCAAAGTCATTCCCAGAGATATAAGGAATCTGTGCAAGGTGTTCATAAAGATTCTGCATTAAAGATTTTTAAAACTGGTCATTCATCTATTTTGCAGGGCAATCGTTCAGAATTAACAATTGAACCTGTACAGGCACAGGGAAAAAAACTGGATAATATGCTTGAAATATCCCCCAAACGCAAAGATATTAGTATTGCACCAATAGAGTCCAAAAAGCCAAAATTAGATGCTCAGATTACTCAAATTTTACCTGAAGTAACAATTCAGCCTGTGGCGTCTAGGGATCAGAAGCAGTATGTATTTGAACAGAAGAACAAATCAATGAACCTTTCACAAATGAACGTGCTAAATCAAGAGATCAGTATTACTCAAGTTAAATCGTTGAAGCCAGCAGATACTTCGATGAGCGAGAAACTTAAAGACATGCTTTCTAAAAATGTCTCTGGGTCTCCAATGAACTCCGACTGTGAAATTATAGAGCAGCGACCAGAATTAATAATCGTTAATGAAAATTCAAATTCTAGCCAAGATGTCGTAATAATCGAAGAAGTTTCTCTTAGCAGACCACCAGAAGTAAAGATACCTAAGAAGAGAGGTAGACCAAGGAGGAATCCGTTACCTCAAGGAACTACTCATCCTCCACCACAGTTGTTAGTGCCTAGAGATCCTCTGTCTCTGGATGATATGAAACAAATGCAACAACCACAAGTACCGCGTATAGAATCGAGGGAAAATGAAAGACCTAAAAGGACTTGTAGGAGTCAAAAGAGTTATGCTCCTCCTAAAAGAGGTAGAGGCCGAGGTTTGTACTTTTTGATTAATTTGAAAACTTAATGTTTAATATATCATTATTTCTAATATAGTTTTTATTGCCCTTACTCATCAGGTAGAGGAAAACGGAAATTGGATGGTGCAGATTCACAAATGTCCAAGAAAGCTAAGATAGAACAAGATTTAACCATGATAGAAGCTTCAACAACAGCAGTAATAACCATAGACGATTCTATGACACAGTCGGAATCATTCGGAAAATCGCCGGAATTGTATAAAGCTCTCAAACAACCAACTTTGGATTCCAAAATTATGAACCTTTCAAAGGAAAAGAAAACTATGGGATCAAAAAGTGATGGTATTAAAAATATTCATGCATTAAGTAATACTATTTCAGAGCAAACTATTAGATCACCAGGAATGAATAAAGAAACGGAAGTACAATTGAAGACAATATCTAAATCTAATGCATCAACCGATAATCTTAAAGATGAAAAATTAACAGAAATTGTATCTGATAAAATGGATCCTAGATCTAATGAAAATAAATCCGATAAACCATCAGAGAGTACGAAGTTAGAGAATAAAGATATGTTAATACCTCCAGGAGATCCTAATTGGCTAACGCCGGCGTCGAAACGATCGTCTGAAACTGTTACAAAAAGCGAAAATGTATCTACGGTACAGGTTATAGATGAAGAAACAAGAATGAGTGCAGAGTCAGGTTCAAGATCTCAAACTCCTGCCAGAAATATTCCTGCACAAGGTAAATAAATTAATAAGAACTTTTCTTTCTTAATTAGCAGTATATTGCTATAGAAATAATTTTATAACAAGCATATTAGGTTGTAAAGAAAATTCTGTACAGCAATTTCTTCTTTTTTATTAAATGACAGTAAACAATAACTTCAATATAATATTCAATGGTCGTGCATTTTTAGAACAAGAGTAGATATACTAGTAACATATATCCTTGTTTATTTTATTTATATAACGATTTATGTTTGGAACTATTAAATATTATTCAACTGTACTTTATATCTTTAACATATTCTTTTTGAGTTATATTTTCTAAATAATTTCCTGAAAGAAAAAGACACTGAATCATAACAGTAAAACACAAATATGAACTATAATTATTATATGACTAAATTAAATCAAAAGATAAGTGTATTGGTAGACCTCCAAGCAAGCTATCTATAAATAGATCTTTTCTTGTGCCTTAATATCTTTCAAGTGCAAAATGCACTTGATTTAACGTGTATAGAATTTCAAAGTTATGGTAGTCTGTACTATATTTCTTAATTAATTTTCAGAAATATAGTGATAAGAATAATTTTATCTATTGTTAGTACATATTATTTCTTAACATAGTAAGTTGCTCAGGGTATAATCAGTATGAACAAAAGTATTACTTTCAAAGTAATTTTCTTTAAATATAACTTTTATTCTATAATTAACTTCATATATAGTTACATTTTAATATCTAACTAATTATACTTTAATAATGATTGTTACAGCGTCTGAAACTATTATAAATGAAGAATCTCAAGGAAGTGTGCTTAGCACTGCAACAACAGAATCAGAAAAAGTAAAAGTTAAAAATCGAAGGATGGAAATTAATTTTGATCCAGATGAAGGACCATTCACTGTTGATAAAATAGCCGAGTATGAATGGCCACTAGATCGTAAAGGTGAAACATTTATGATACAAGAACAAATATCTCAATATCTGGGTGTAAAATCTTTCAAGAGGAAATATCCAGATTTAAAACGAAGAGTAGTTGATATGGAAGAAAGAAATTATTTAAGAGAAAATGGACTGGTTAGTGAAGCAATGTGTGATATGGGTAAGAGTATTTTATTTTATAGTCTACTAATGAATACTTACATGAACTAATGTCATTAACATTATTTCAGGTTTAACTGCAATCTGTAGTTCAGAGGTATTAGATGTAATGTGTAGTGATTTTCCTGATCAGTATGAAGAATACCGTAAACATATGCGTGAAAAACAAGTAAAAGAGCATTCCAAAAAACAAAAAGAATTAACAGCAGCTGCTAATGCAGAAAAAACTAGAATTGATCTAGCAGAGATGGCAGTGCAATCTGCATTGTCTTGGAATATTAGTTTAAACAAAGCTCGCAGAGAAGATAGAAAATGTAGTTTAGATTTACAAACTTTCACAATACATGTGCCAAGAAAGCAACAGAAAGTTGAAGAACGTAAGGTTGGTTACTATCCTGTTGCTTTAATACCAGGACAATATACAGATTATTATCGTGAATACACGCCTGCTGAATTGCGATATTATCCTTTGAATACCGTTCTGTACGGTCCTACGAGACCAAACGAACGTAAATTTGATAGTCAGTCTGAAGGCTCGCAAAGCGACAATGATAGTGATTCATCTTCAGATGATTCGAGGTTCGTGTTATCATTTTAAACTATTACCATCGTAATATTTCTTATGAAAGAATAGTTATTTACTTTTTATGTAGCTCATCTTCTAGCGAAGGAACACAAAATACAGAAGGTTCTCAGTCTACGATGGACGACGTTGATATGGAAATAGCAAATCAAAAAGAAGAAGTAAAATTAAAATGCAAAATGTGTTTGAAAACTTTAAACAAACATGGTAAAGTTGAGGTGTTGATTCAGTGTGGCACATGCAATGGACATGGTAATAATTATACATTTGTTATAACTTTCCTTATAGATTATTTATTTAACTACGAATTTATAATAAAAGTTGTAACGATTTATTAATAGTTCATCCGTCATGTATTGATTTAACATTGGACATGGTTCCCCATATTCAATCATATGCATGGCAATGCACAGACTGTAAAACTTGCGCGCAATGCCACGATCCTGCAGATGAAGATAAAATGCTTTTCTGTGACATGTGTGACAGAGGGTACGTCTTTCTGTAAAAATAAGTAAAATGTAATACTGTATAATTGTATAATGTTTAATATTTTTTAGATATCACATTTACTGCGTTGGGTTACGCCGTGTACCCCAAGGAAGGTGGCACTGTCAAGAATGCGCTGTTTGTGCAAACTGTGCTTCGAAAGAACCCGGTGGTATTAATTCCGATAGAAACAGCGTTGCTCAATGGCAGCATGAATACAAAAAGGGTGATAAAAATACTAGGGTTTATGTTTCAACGTTATGTGTTCCATGCTCAAAGTAAGTAAATACTAAATTTTTTATTTTGCAATGCAATGTGTGAAAATGTGGTTTAATACATAATTTATGAACTGCAAGATTCTTTAAATTGTCACGGGGCTTAACATTTGCTTCACAGTTTCCTTAATCCACACTAAACTCCTCTTTTATAAGAATTTTCAAACTAATTTTACGTACTCACGATATTAATATATATCTGAATCTTTGGATTAAAATAATTGTGCGCAATGTAATTAACATGTATCTTTCAATAATTGTTTAAAATTTAAGTAGTACATAAAAAAGCGTCCAAGATTCAGAATTTTACAAATTACATTAAACTGTGGCATTACGATAAACCAATGTCCAACTTCACTAACACCATAATCTTTATGCAATAACAAGGCTATGGCGAAAGGGTCGCTATTGTCCGCACTGCAGTCGCTGTCATACTGCTCCACGACTCGACCTGGAAGCGAATCTAGTGCATTGCAGCGCATGTGACAAATATCTGCACTTAGGTATTGACACAAATTCCATAACTTTCCACTATTTCTTCTCCATTGCATGTCCTTGCATTTGCATGTATCATCGGATACTTTTTTTGAAAAGTAACTTAAACATTTAAGATAGGCATGACCAAATGGGAATTTTCAAATCACATTCGACTTAAGTTTTTCATTCCACCCGTGCAGTAGAGACACAAAACTGTTTATCAGATATTACTGTCATTTGATCATGCCTGACCTAAAATATGTTAACATTTTCAGGTACTATAAAATGTAAAAGATCGAAGGCTATTCGGTCATATATTAAAATGTTAAGATATAAATATAAATTATATTGTTACTTTAATAACGTTCGTTTACAGATTGCGTGGAGACCAAGGGGGTGGCATTAGACAGGAAAAATTATCTGTGTGATTTTTGTGCACCCACTCGCCAGCATATGGTGAAGCCATTAATGTCAAAAACGTTAAAAACGTAGACAGCATAAAATGTACAGTTTCTGTTTGAACTTGAAAACTGTATAAAATGTGAATTGTGTGTGTAGAGAAAGTGATAAGATAGAAAATTTGTACGAACAATGGATGCATCGTAATGGTTTAAGTGGTTAATTTATCATAAACTGTTTCTTACAATTCACTATGTAAAAGAACATAACTGTACATATTTGTCATAAAACAGTGACTATCGCTAGGTATACGTAAAAGCTTAAGATACAAAAATATCTTCATATATTATTTAGTGACAATTCCAACATTATTTTTAAAACTTTTGTTAATGTATTGTAAAATGAAATAATACTTTTTTTTAACAAACTGTATTCATAATTTATCTTCTTAACATCTTATCAGTAATAAGATGTTAATTAGAAAGACTGCTTTACAAAATTCTCTAAAGTAATTTTTAATATTTTTTTAGTGTATATAAGGTGCTATTTTCTAAAATACTTCGCTTATCTAAGTTAATTATTCTTTTTTAAAACTTTTATAATTTAATCAAACACCTTACTAATTGTACATTTTCTATTTTAAAAAATAGCTAATGATTAATACATATGTACATTTAAAGCAAGGAAGAAGTATAATAAAATATGAAACAAGACAACATTTTCTTAAAAATATATATCACTTTCTTTATTTTTCTTTTGCAATATAATCCTCGGAATAGTACTTTGTTGCGAGAGTTCCATGCTTGCAAATATCTTTTTTTACATATTTATAGTAACGCAGCTTCCATGTCGTGAACAGTATGCTGTGTATTCCTCGTATCAGAAATTCTTCATATCTTTTTCTTAACAATTATACATAATCAATAACCAATTTTCCTTGTTCAAAACTAATTACATTTTATAATATATTACAAGAATGTTTACATTATTTAGTAATATGTACAAGAAAAGAAGATGACAATATTGAATTCGAAACAATGGCAAAATTGCAAAATTCAAACTTTGGTACATCATTGCATGAATGTTATACTGTCAAAAAATATTCTAATAAATTAGCATATATCGCTTTTGTACAAGATGTATTTCTAGAGCACAGATCAGTTATGCAGAAATTACCGAGGATTTTTCACAATATCTTTGCGAAGTAGATACTTTTTTCCGTAAAGCTACATACCTGCCATCGCGATACAAAGTTTAAATGATAGCGGAATAATATCGGCAGCATTTTAAAAGTGATAGTAGACGATCGTCAAGATAAGTGCTCTTTAAATTTTCATTTATCGGTTCAGTTTTCTGTTAATAAAATTGAAAAGGACATGAATTAGATTCTTTTCATACTTCTTGTTAAAATTCATAGGTTTCCCTAATATATTTCATAGGCACTAGCGTAACTAGGTAAGGACCAGATCGAGTACAGATCCCTTAAAACATGAACTGCCCGTAACTACATAACGTAAAGAACAAAGAATGTAAAATATACCGCGTACTCTAAATTTTCAATGTTCAAATTTCCAAATTTCTAAATTCCTATAATTCCTAAGTACTAAATTTTCATATTTCTAAGTATTCAAATCCCCAAAACCCCAAAAGACATTTAATCATGCCTGATGCGAGGCAATAATAGTATGAATAAAGCTAGAGGATCTCGCTTATCATAAACAAATATCCTAGTTACGCTAATGTCGATAATTAACTTTTTTCGTTAATTCAGTTTGCTTTGAGCGCTACTATAAAAATGGCTGTGCACGCTTTCAAATTCTTCCATAAAATCACACACTTAACACTCCGCACGTATCGTGAAATTGTGAAAAATAAAAAAATAACTTGAGCAAAAAACGAGGCGTAGCATACAGTAACACGTTACGAGATGACATAACGCGTGTTTGCATTACGTAGAACACTTACACTAACGAGACAAAGTCACGAATGTCTCGTTGACTAGCCGAATATAAATACACTATTGACAAATGTCAAGTGAATTCTGAGCAAACCCAACTAGCGACCAGTAGAAAAGGTGAAAAATAACGTTTATATTCGAGCACTGATGCTACTAAAACAATTACCATTTCGAATATAGAAAGTTTTACAACCGTGGTCGAGTTTTCTATAGCCATTAACAATAATTGCCATTTTATAATACTAAAATTGATTGACCTTGGCTCAATATTCACTAATTAAAATAATTTAAATGACAAAATAAAATTTTTACGATACCCCTTTGCGATACGATAATCATTGTAAATAATTGACAACGTAAAAACTGTTGTTAGGCTTTACTCGTGTCTAATACCACATATGGATAAGAAAGTACTGAAATTATGTAAGTGTGTTGCTGGGATAATAGTAGTAACCAAATTTCGCGTAGAAAATTTAGAAAGAACGTCTTGAACGAACTTCGGTCCTGGCGAACTACCGACTTTATAGAAGATTCGTAGATTACAGGTTGGATTTATAGTTTGGGATCCCTTTGTAAGTTTGCACAGCACGTACTCAAATGCCTCCGTTAATTCGCTAACGGTTAATTCTGCAGAGGGCAAACTTGTTTCCGTGGCTAAATTACCAGTCGAATTGGATGAACCTAGTTAAAATAGAATCTCTTTTATACATGTATATATTAAATAAACATTTAAGTAAAAATGTTTATGTTCAGAAATACGCAAATAAAAATATATACCGGTGGACATATAACACACAATAGCTGAAACATTATTTTCATAATTCCACCTACGCCTTATTGCCACTTTAAAATTACCTACACATTTTCCAGTCTCTTCATCTGTAATACAAAAATTTTCAAAAATACTACGTTGTATATGCACATGTACATATATGTGTACTTACATTCAAATCTATTATTATCTCTATGAGCCCAAACACACCATTCAACTTGAGCACCACGTGGAAGGTTTGGAACAACAATGTAATCCACAATGGCATTATTTGTTCGTTTTTCCCATTCCTTTCGTGCGTCTGGTATGTAACTAGAATGAGTCAAAAAACAAATACCTTGCACAATATCCCTGAGTTGTGTATTTGAATCCATAGCTTTTACAATTCGATCTATGTGCCTCAACGTCAAACGACATTGCCTTTTAATATTTAACTCCAGAATAGTCATACTGCCAGGCACCAAGGGTATTTGTCCAGCAACTGAGATTATGTCACCGACCTGATAAACAAATATGTATTTCCAGGTTACAATTTTTCAATCAACTCAATAACATTTGTAATATTGAAATTATTTAGTTTACCATTAATTTTTAAATCTACCACACAAATCGTTACAAAGATTTTTTCTTATATAGCAAAATAAAAGATATCAATTGAAATATGATAAAATATGTATAATACGCCAGACATGTCCAAGTGATCACCGCTGACAACTTCGAAAATATGAGAGTCTAAAGATTTGATAATTTTAGATCTTGGAAATTTGAAAATTTGTTACATCGAACATATTTAAACAGTGGCTCGTGAGCCATCACTTGTTCATGTCTGACATACATGATCGCAACACAATGCCTGTATCTTCCTTTATATTACTTATTACAAACTTAACATCTTATTTTCATTTTAGAAAAATTTTATTTTGTTTACCTCACTGATGTGTTTCTTTTGTAAACCAGATGTGTGTGCGTGCGCGTACGACTGCGCACATACACACATTTTGTCTACATATACACACAGAGACGTTCACGCTAATTCTTTTGTAACGGTAGTACACTCACACGAACTGCTTGAGAGTAAGGACCAATGTTTGCAGGTGCCCAGTGACTTATGCTCTGAACATGCATTGTATGTCGTTTGTGAACTTTCTTATCACCACAGTCTTGAGTTTCTTTATAGGCTATAGCATCAAGAACAACATGTATATTTAACGGACATTCCACACATACGCGAACTGGTGGATTTGGTTTATTTAAACATGAGATGTAAGCCTCATTTATAGATATGTAATTTGACATATCTTTTATATACAATGTTACTGCAACGATATCCGATATTTGAAGATTTTCCTTTTTGACTAGACCTAAATAAAACGATAACAATGTTTTATCAATCTATATCAAGCACAGAATATATAGATACTGGATAAAACAAAAAAGTAACTAAAAGATAGTTTAAAAGACTTAAAGTTTACCTACTGCTTAATTTCTCCAGTGCCTCTCGCATCGCGGATTTAGCATCTGGATGTTTTCCAGCGATACCGCCAAACCAGAACCAGCCGGTTTGATTTCTATTTACCACGGGCACATCAGGATAATCTTCTTCTTCGTATAAAATTTGCATAGGACTCGGTGGATTAAATTGACCTATGTTAGTTTTATACGTTTTATCAATTTGTTAGGTGGCAAACAAACTTTTCGTATTTATTTGAAATTAATACCAGAATTTGAAGTCTTGAGACTACTATCTGTACAATCGTGTTCATCGTTTTCGTCTTCCGATAGATTACAACCATCATGTAATTCTGGACCAATAATCTCTGCGATATAGTCAGATGGAGTTTTAATAGGAACATTTTTTAATCTTTCTTGTAACGTTGATCCTTCGACGGCGTCCTGATAAATATTCCTTTCAGTTATTTACTTGTTCATTTAAGTAATCTTAGAAGTAGAAAATATTATAACTCACACTTTTTTCTTGCACATGAATTTTCTTGAAATTCAAATATCCAACTGGTGCTATGTTATCATTTGAATGTATTACACTTTCATATTCATCTCTAAAATAAAAAACAAGAATATCCGAAAACAAGTTTTTTATCATTTGTTTTTATAATAAATATTACAACTTACATTACTATGCTTTTATTAAATAGTGGGCAATCTAATGTGAAAGTTTCATATTCTCCACCTTCTCCACACATATTAACACCATATTTTTCTTTCTGTGAATAAATATTAAATCTTATAATATGTTATATATATATTTGTTTACACTACTATTTTATATTAAACTTCTTTTATATATATTTCTTTGAATACTTGGAGTATTTCCAATATAGAATAAAATCAAAAAACATTGTTTTGTAACAAATTAATCATTAAGACATTTTACTTACTATTTTGGCAAGATGGGATTGCATTTCAGAAATTGGTTTACCCAAATGCCTTGGTTCAAGGCCTAAAGCTGCTACTTTTATTAAAACTGCATTTACAGAACTTTCTATCATTTCTTTTAACAATTCATCTTGTTCTCGTCTCCACAAATATGATAAAGAAACAAGACCTAACCGACCACATCTGAAAATAAACTTTTACTATTAGATATCATTTTATGTATTAAAAACAAATGAATCTTTTACTTTCTACAGTATAGATTAACAACTTGTATTAAAACTTGTATTAAATAATTACACATTTTCCACACGAATTCGTTGATAGTCACTTAGAATAGCTCCAGATGAAACAGCTTCTATATTTTCTTTTTCCTAAAATTTGATTGATACATTAAAAAATTTGATTATAGTACATTAAAATAAAACCACTCTAAATTTACTTAACATATAAAAGTCATAAAACAACCTAATATCTACCTTCACTTTACTTAACAACCTAAAGAGATCTTCAACTTCATCATTTTCTGTTGGATAATAATATTTTTCTTGCATTTTTGATCTACCAAATGTTGGTTCACGATACATTGGTAAACCTATAGCTTCTGCAATATATTCAACACCTTGATATCCAACAGTTTGAAACATGAATGAATCAAGTTCATCTACAAATTAGTTGTTCTTAATTAATTTATGAGACAATATATTTTATTGATACACAGAAATAAAAAATATTTATAAATAAAGATATGAAATATTTTATTAAATATATCATAAATTATTTACCCTTCCCAACAGGGTACAAATTAGCTAAGGCCACAATATCATGACCTGCAGCTATACATTGCATCATATTAAAGCAAGAATCTTTTCCGCCACTGACTAGTGCTACAACCCTCATGTTTCTGTTTTATAATCACAATCTCTAAAACTTATCAATAGCTTAGAGTATACAAAAATCTAAATATACTTTTTTCAGATAATCATCTGTAATCAAATAATTAAAGTATCACTTGATAATAAATCTTTTAAATTAACCGCAACAATGGTAAATAAAATCAAACTATTCGTTAGACATCATGTATATGCTTTAGTGCATAAAACTGCACAAAAAGCTTTTATAATTATAAATTATACATAAATACACTTACAGATACAAATTAATAAATCAATGATATACAAACAAAATATATAATATAATTATTCCACTACTAAAATTTTTAATGACGTAAGCTATAAGTGCTTATAAAGAATATATAAAGTAAAAACAACATAATTATAGGAAGATGTAGACATATTTAGTATTACTTATGTATAGATTGTCTGCAAGTATATATTAAGCCAAAATTAAATTTACGAAATACATATGCACACGTGTTTCTTGAATAGTCTAATTTAAAAATAATACCATTTAAGCATTACTATTTCCCAAAAATATTTATGAAAATTTAAAAACCTGTTTTTTTTATTCTGCCTTAATCCATTGTATTTCCAAGAAAAGAAAATTACATGTCAATCACCCAACTAAAATCCTAGAAAAGATAAACACAAAAAGACACCGGATATTCAGTTTAACTTATTAATATGTGTAACAATTGGCTAGTGAACAAAAATTAATCACTGTACTGTTCCAAACAGTAAACGTCATATAATCTGAAAAAATCTTGACAAAATCTGGATTTTCTTTTTAAAAAAGCAACAAATTTGGTAAAGCGAAACGTAAAATTTGAGTTTAATGAGATGTTAGAAAAAAGATTGGTGATTATTAAAGAAAAAAAGAATACCTACGGAGAGATTTTTTGGTTATTGCCGATCTCGGCAAGATGAGAAATATTACGGAATGACGGCCGGCAATGAATTGTACGGAGACCGTGAACGATAATTTCGAACTTATGTACGTTAAAATAAACTCTAAATTCTCAACAAATGTAATATTTACATTAAATAGGCGATGAAAGTTCCTTACACGGCAAAGTCTATCAGAGACTGCGATTGCTTGATAGTGGCGCCTCTCTGGGATAGAACTTTCAACGTAAACCATATTACTCGTTCAACGAGAGATTATACTCTTCACCTGACGAATTTTTGTTTCTTCTACGCATGTCAGCTATGATTGGCTTGGCATGCTTTGTAACTAAGAGCAACGCGTAGGCGCATTTACGACTTTCGTTACGACAAGCGCATATACGCAGTGATCTAGAATTTCGTATATTACCTAATTCCAGTATAATTAAGTAGCAACTTGCAAATGCTGGCAAGCGCTATTCTACAACCATGCCTATTTTTTCATTTTATTAATTGTAAGCTACAGGAAAACAATCCCTGCCCAATTATACTTATTTAACTCTACTGTCAGTACCAATCGCATCTTGAAATTATACAAGTCGATTCGCAAGTTACATAATATTGTGAAAATACCACAAAATTTTCAAGAATTCTTTTCAAATTCTGCTTTATATTATCACATATTTTTGTTCACCGAGTGTATAACCGAAGGAATGAAAAGCATATCATATTGGAACAACGCTAGAATAGTGGGGAATCTCTTGAAGTTAGCAGCGTTGCGCAAGTTTATATGATCTCCCGTTGAACGAATAATAAACTGTAGAATTGAGGTTATAACTTATTTTAACTTAATAATTGTTTATAATCTTTATTTAGGAAGTTTGATTTTTATTTTGTTTTCAATATGTTCTGTATTTTTTATTTCTATGACGGATTATTTAAAATATTACATAGTTTTTGTTAAAACTGATGCTCCTTTTGAGGAATTCTCAAGTATAATTCGTGTGACCATACCTCGTGACATCATCAATGTATAAAATATATCGATGTCTCGTTATTTCAATCTGCTTCTACATTATAATTTGCTGATTGTAATATACCTTGATTCAAATTAATCATAATTTTTTCTATTTTTTATGTATCTGTATATACTGTTTAAAAATTCTTATGTATTCTATAAGATAAGAATATAATCCATCATGGTAATGGAGCACCAGACTCTATGGATTAAAAATGCATTATAGTAGAATCAGTTTAAAATAGTTTTTCAATTTGTACTTTCTTAAATTATGTAACAGCTTGTCTGTTGTTTATTAACATAGTCTTATTTGTTTAGTTTAAGATGATATATTTTACATATTTATAGCTGTCAAAGTAAATTATCGAAACAAGTATACTTAGGTTCTGTTTTACGATACGATAAAATAATTACAAGTGCTTTATACGTTTAATATCAACTAATTTCATATAAAAATTTTATTCATTTTATATCGTTATGGAAAGTTAATTAAAAATTCCATATTTCTGTGTAATGCTATTAAAATCGGAAATACCATTAAAAATGAAGTTTTCATATTTTAATAGATTAAATTTTGTACTAAAATTATACGTCTTTATGTATGTAAATTATATAAATGTATCAAATAAGTTTACTTATAACAATACAAGTTAGATTCACTGCGAAGCTTGTTCTTTAAAATATAGTTAATTTCGAAATATATTGAAAATGTATGTTGCCATCTTTACACAGTAAATCGTTGGCCAATCGGATCTCTTTCAATAAGCAGCCATTTTACTTTCGCTACGGTCGCACGAAGCGCGAGTCAGACTCTACGGAGTACGGAGTAGTTGCAAGCTACCGCTTGCATTGCAGGTTTCGTCGATTTTTCGTGCGAAGAAAGCTGTACCATAGTAGTAATTAGATTTAGCGTTGATCGAGAAAAGGATAGAAAATGGTTTTGGCAGAAAGAAATTCAGAAAATGTTAGAAATGGACGTAGATCGAGGGGCCCCAGCCCTAATGGACAGACGGAATCATCGAGCGAAGAAGACGGAGGTACCAATTTTATGTTACATTTGAATTATCATCACTATTTATACAAATCTACCAAATAATGCTTTGATTAACATGGTTTAGATGTATAGAATTTTTATAGTTGGATTTTTATTTGAAAGTTTACATATTTTTATATTGATCCAATGCGAAAATCCGTAAGGATCTTCAAACAGCGCGCCCCACTTTTCCTCTTTTTAAGTTCTTTGCATTTTCAGCCAATTCCTGTGAATATTTATACGAAACAATTTTAAATAACTTCTTTCGAAATCAAATAATTTCTTAACTTTTTACATTTATACATTTATTAAGAGATATTTAATTTCTTAATTCAAATAGGCTGGTAAAATTAAATATTGAATACACTTATATATTTAAATTATTTGTAGATATTGTAATATATACATTAAGGAACTAAAAATAAATATAATGCGATTTTTATTTGATTATAGCAATTTAACGATTTTGCAATATAACTATTATACTATTTTTGCTAATTTTCACCCAAAAATATTTTTTTTTATGTACTAAAAATTATTATTTTTAAAGTTCCAGCAGAAAAAATACGTGTTGGACGGGATTATCAAGTTATTGTTCCAGAATTTGTTCCAGTTAGTGGTATGTTATTTTAACAAAATTAATTATCCCATAATTAATTGAAAATAAATAAAGTATTATTTGAAAGTAGGAGAGGAAAAAATACCAAATTCCTGAATATGTAATTTCACCTTGTAATTATAAATTTTATATTTTAGAACGAAGATTGGATCAATGTCCTGACAGAGCATTGCTCGTATGGTCTCCTACTACCGATATACCAGATCAAAAATGTAAATACAAATTGTATTTATTAACTTAATTTTTAAATTACAGCCATGATTGATTAATTACAAAAAAGAATGACCTTTTGCAGTGGATGAATATATTATATTAGCAAAGGAAAAATATGGGTATAATGGAGAACAAGCATTAGGAATGTTATTTTGGCACAAGCATAATTTAGAACGTGCTGTATTGGACTTAGCTAATTTTACACCATTCCCAGATGAATGGACAGTTGAGGATAAAGTTCTTTTTGAGCAAGCTTTTCAGTTTCATGGGAAAAGTTTCCATCGTATCAGACAAATGGTAAGCCTTGGTTTGGAAAGTTTAAATTCAGAAATATTCAAATTATGCATATTATAACTTCTTTTATAACTTGTTTTCAGTTACCTGATAAATCCATTGCAAGTCTTGTTAAGTACTATTACAGTTGGAAGAAAACACGAACTAGAACATCATTAATGGATAGACAAGCAAGGAAATTGACAAGCGGTGGTAAAGAGGGAGAAAATGGTAGTGAAAATGGAAGTGAGTTGGGTTCCAATACAGACAGCGAATCAGAAGAAAAAGTAAGATGTTTTTACAACATTATTAACAAATGCATGTATTCGATGTTTGTAAAGAAAGAATCAGTTTTCTCTCTCTCTCTGTACAAGAGTACTTAGAATTTTAAGCATAACATAAGTTCTACAGCATTTTAATAAAGACAAACAAGCATTATGTTATTGATCAAAGCAAAATAACAATTTTGTTTTAGTTGCTTATCTAATTTTTTATAAACTTAGAGGCTTTTACTACTTTTCCATTTAATTACTTTTAAGTAAAATTAATATTTGTGTTATTGCGTGTGGTAGTATTCTCCTTTTGCTACATTGTAATGCCATGGCACTGGCGTCAAAACATATGTATGATATGCAGTTGTATACGTTAAAAAATGTATCCACACGGTAACGTATTCCATGCGGTGAACAGAACCAAAATAATAAGAATACTGATCTACAATTGATAAAAATTACATAAAACTATAAATCATCAGTGTTAAAAAATTGAAATGTTTGTTAATACGAAACTGGCATTAACTTTATTTCTAATAATATACAATATGGTTAAGAATTTTTTGAGCTATTCAAAGAGAAATCTATATATTATATCAGTTATACAAAGCTATTTGAACTATCGTTACATCGTGTGTGAACGTAAATGTGGAACGTTCCAGAAATGGACGATCCACCGCGGAATACGTCGTGGAAAGAACCAAGCTGTGCCAGGAAGCCAAGGCACTGACGCCAAAGCCCCATCCGACTCGGAAAATGCCCCTCAGGTTCAGGTACTCAGCCTAAACCTTACCCAATTGCATAGCATAGTATGCTTATTATATTTTGCTATTTTATGTCTCGTATTTATTTTTTCTATCATATGCATTATTTTTTATTTTAACGAAAAGGCATTGAAAAAAAAGCAGAAAAGTGAGAAAATTGTATATAAGATAATCTGAGCAGTAGAATTGATAGGCTGAAACCTTACTGAGGAAAAGATGAAGTACAGAAAGAATTTGATAGTAGGAAATTTTTAATTATATTAAAAAAGTACAAATATTCGGTGCTTTAGATTTTGTATAGCGAGCAGAATTAGAATTTTTTTATATACTCATGTATATATTTTATTTTTTTATTGCAAAATATTACTTCTAAAGATCAGTTCAGATATATTGAAAAGTTTGAATGGAGGGAGAGGGTGGGGGGAATTATTAGTTCTTATTTTAAAAGGGCATTATGTGTTGTAGGGCTCGTGTAGCAACTGTGGCGTTGCTTGTCATAGTGTACGTGCGACGCCGAAAGGACATGCGTGTCACAGCTGCTATCTGCACTGGAGGTCAGTGAGTGCAAGTAAAATTAAATACCAGTAACCAAAGAGTTAGTAGAAATTTTTTTAAAATAAGAATGTTCATGCACCATTTTTTTTTAGATATCAGAAAATCGTAAGAAATGATCTTTAGAATGAAGTGTTATTAACATTTATCTTGGTGAGAATGCATGAGCATTCTTATCGGTGCCTCAGTTAAATGCTTTTAGAGAACTTACAAAATTGAAGTACATTGTAGATCAGATATCTGGTTTGACAAAATAACAGAATACAATGCTAAATTTATTGAAATGATTTAGGCGAACCGGTGTAGCAAGACCATTAAGTTCCATGCCAGGTCGTACAAATAAAAGAAAACCACCTCGTGGTCTAGTCGTTAATCACGACGATTTAGCAGCATTGGCTGGGCAGCCCAATCAAGCGAACAACAGTTTACAAGCGATCGACACCGAAATTGTTAGCTTAAAACGCCAAGTACGTTGTTAAACCAAAGTAACAAAACGTGTGGATACATTTTTTTTTCTTTTCTTAAAATACTATTTAAAAAATGCAGTATTCTATAATACTGTATTACAAAACTAATATTTATTGATTACAAATGTTCTATATACAGATACAATCGAACAAACAACAAGTAAGTGCATTAAAACGTAAAACTACCGATGGTATCGATGATTTGCGACCACCAGAAGTATCAAGTCGTATAAATGCCCGTTGGACAAATGATGAATTGTTACTGGCCGTTCAAGGTGTTAGGAAATACGGAAAAGATTTTTCAGCGATTGCTGATGTAATTGGAACCAAGACAGAGGCTCACTTACGATCGTTTTTTGTAAACTATCGACGAAGATATAATTTAGATGCAGTTCTAAAAGAATACGAGGCTGAAAATGGTCCGATATTAATCGATGATGAAAAGGAAGAAAAGGTAAAATATTTTTCAATAAATATATTACAACAGACATGAGCAAATAATATCTCGCGATGTCATGTCTGTATTATAACATTATGTAATATCTCAGTTGTTCAATTTTCTTATATGTTAGATGGATGTCGATCAACCCAATGAAACGGCAGAATCATCTCAAAAAACGAAATCATCTGTAGGTATTGGTCAAGCGGCTAAATAACAAATGACTATACTATTAAATACCAAACGTGAGAAAAACAATTACAGGCACTTTGAAAATCGATAATATCGTGCAAAAGGTATTTGTTTAATTCAGTTGCAATTTACATCGTTTATTCTTAATTCTATCATCTTGCTTCATTCTAATGCGATTTTGCATTAGGAACGCCAAGTACAAGAAAGAATTTTCATTAAACTTGTGCATGGTATAAAAATTCATATAATGAACATATGGATAAACTAATTATGGAAAAGAGTGTGTGAATTTGTTGAGCTAGCCTTATTTTTAATGTAACATATTTTGTACTTGTCTAAAATGGGGTCTTTGTTAAACAGTACGAAAAAATGAGATTCCGTTAAAAAGATTTAATGCCACCATCTTAGAAAAATAAATTTAATTTATGCATCTAAATACAGGTATAACAAAATATTCAATAGTATACGTTTTATGTAATCGCACGAAAACATATATGTATATTTCATTTTGTTTAATCTATTTCTATTCTGTAGTATATAATATTTCTAGGTATACATAAGGGATATTAAAATCCCATTTTAACTAATGAAAGTAATTTAAACGCAAAATTACTTATTTCAAACGAAGGAAGATTTAGAAGTTAATGAATTAATGAAGAATTGATAAGATTGTAAAATATAAAAAAAAAGTCGATATAGTTTGCAATATTAAGAAAATTGTGTATTGCTTGGTAACAAGTAAAAAGTTCATATATTGAAAAATTACTGACAGTTTATATATATGAATAATCAAGGTACCTTGTGACTGTTTCATTATTCTAACGATTTTTTACCCATGCTCAAATAAATATTTAACAATCTGTCATTATAATATTGCTATGTTTGTATTAGTTTCAAGTTGTGCATGCATTTTGTATCAATTTATGACTTCGATATTTAATTTTTTACAAATTGTTTATAAGAACTTCAAATAATTTATGTTATAAAATTTAGATTTAAAAAGAATATAAATGAAACAAAATTGTACATGAAATTATTACTTAGTTATATTTTATTTATGTAGATTATTGAGATAACTTTAATGTTCAAAGAACTATTATATAAGATCTTGATATCAGGTAGAAATTTTGTATTTGTGCTGATGCATTCCTAGACATACTAAAAAGAGCAAAAGAAATATAAATTCGAAAATTGAAAAAAAAAAGACATTTTTCTCTTTCCTTTTCGCTTTGTTTTTCGCTAAATTAATATATATAATCAATATTCTTCCACTATAACAATTATATCACTAAAATTTATCGAAAATCAGACAATCTACAATTCTGCATAAAAATAGAAGAAAGGAAAGAGAAACTTCATACTTCTTCCAAGTTTTAAATGGTTCATGTCATCGATCATAAATGTCCAAAAAACTAGTGATTTTAACTGTGGTAAAATTTACAGCATTAGCAAAAGTATTAGCGAATGAAGGTTTAATGTTTTCATTGGAAAGTTATTTTACTTAAAATATGCAAAATAACAATGACTACGTTAAACCGTTCCTTGCTAAGAAAATAATGCTCAAAACAAAGATATATTTTCGTTCAAATTCTAACGAAATATATTTAATATTTTATCAAGATACATTACAATGAAAAGTTGTTTTTATTCATTTTATAGAATAACAAATTTGAGGGGTTGAAAATCGTGCTATACAAGATATATTAAGGAGAATATATTTTTGTGTCTAGCTGCTACATACTCGATCCAGTTATATACAAAGAAATATGGTTCCTGATAATTCTATTGTGCAAAATTATGTAATGTATACACTAAACTTGACCGTATTACAAAATAAACGGTGCTTCTGTACTCGACAAGCATAAGCTTTTGCACTCCTATAAATAGAGGAGAGCATTTTATTTATAAAGAAATATATAATTTTCATCTGATGAAATTCTTACGTAAAAAACAATTTTTTTAAACAATTTGTTGTTTATGTAGCGTTAGATATTTAAACAAATATTCGATACATTAATCTGCTTACATTTTGATAGTTATAATTTTATTATAATAAACAACTCTTAACGAATTTTTTTAAATAACAAATAGTAGTAATAACAAACAAATCAATAACCAATATTAATTTATTTATATTTGTATACCCTGTGAAACTGATCAAGTGTATTATCCAGTGAAACAGAGGCTCTATATATAAAAAAATTCTTTAATTTAAATAAAATGATTACTTATTAGATATTATTTTCAAGGAGTATTGACTTCCAATGTTTTTTTATTATTTTACAAGTAGATTGTTAAACTTCAAATAAGTGGTAATTTTAATTATAATTTCACAAATACATCTACATTTACTATTAATAGCAATACTAATAATACGTTAGTTTAATGTTTGTCTAGGTAAAGTATACTATTTAATGATAATAAAACACTCGCAAGCGTGTGTGCACGATTTCTTTATGAAAAAAAAAAAAATGTTATTCCTGAAGATCATTGTAAAATTAGATACATTTTAGAAGTTATTATTATAAACATCAGTGTAAATAGGAATGATCACCAAAGAAATTTACTGTAATTGTTAGCGACATATCACGGAAGCGAATCAAATAGTTGGTAGGACTATGTCGCCAAGCAAATAGCTTATAAACTGAAACAACAAAATGTATTATGATCAGAAGCGAATAGCAAATTATTTCTTAACACTTTGATAACATATTATTTACGTGATTTATATTTACTGTTATAATATACTACTTACAATTTAAGAATTTGTAATAGAAACTCCAAGTATAAGTTTCTCAGTAATTTCTTTTGCAATATAAAAAGTCATTGATGCCATAAAATACATGATTATCAAAGTGTTAACATACATAAGACATTTATTTAAATATTAAGTAAATGATCATATGGTTTCCAGATATGATTATGTATTAGTACAAAGGAAATAATTTTGAAAGACATTCAATATAAAATAATCTGTTGTTATGCTTTGATCCACCTTCATTAAATTCTTTGTTCATTCATATAGTCATTGTATGTACTTCTTTCACACGCAAAAGCACAGCGCAGTGTTCTACTATATTAATTAAAGTAAGCTTTCATAGTTTATGATCGAAAAAGGAAGTTGTTTTCAAATATATTGATTTATAACTTTTTTTTGTGTATTGAAAGCAAACTTCTTGTTTGATATTTATTTAATTATGAATGCATTTAATCAAGAAACAAAGCGCAATATCAACGAATAAAAATTTCTTTAAATAAACGAATTTTTGTAATTTTATATCTAATCAAATTTGTTCGCGTAAGGTAAACAGAATACATTTATATTATCATGTAACTTTTCTTTACATAGCTAACAACATTTTTAGCTTAAACAGAAAAATTAAATTTTTTAAAACAGCACGATAAAATAAATTTACCGTATTTGATATCACATTATGGTATAAGATGTAAGCTGTAGATATAAAGAAATATACATATATTACCATGTAAAGAGTGAATACATTGAAAAATGAAAATTTCGCAATGTATAATAATATATATTCTATGATCTTTCAAAATTTTCTAATATTCTGATACAATTAATGTAGCATAATGTAAATATGAAGTTATAATTATTGTGAATGTGTACACATTTATGTGATCGTAAAGTGTACAGATGTATTTATTCAGGACTATTAAATACCTATTGCATACTTTGATGGGTTAGAATGCTTTTATTTTGAGATTCCTCTGCAAGAATTATTATTTCTCAGTTACAAAATATTTATTATTACTTATCATTTACTTAATTACAATAGACATAATATTATTATCACTAGTATTAACTGCATTCTTGTATTACAAGTTCTTGTTTTCTTAATAAATAATCTACATATTTAGTATTCAAAACAATTTCCAAATTAGTGTCGTCGAAATATTTATTTTGAAGCTGGTGTTTTATTTCCGCTTTAGTCAGAACGTTGATAATGTTTTCATCATCAGATTCCATTCTGTTACATATTGTAGAACACCTACTATGTCTGTATTTTTTTTGTTGTGTGTAATAAAAACAGAAGTTTAGAAATTTTGTTTCTTCTTTATAAGAAGGATTATCATCGTGGCAGAAAGGATTTTCAACTGTCGCATTAACGTTGAAATTCTTAATATCACGTGTGAACAGTTTTACAAAAAGTAGATTCATATCTTTACTCGTTAATTCAGAACACATCACTTCAGATAATAATTTTTGATATATACATTCATCATGTTCTAAATTACTAAATTCCACGTTCATTTTTTGTAGAACATGTGTCCTCAAACTTTCTGCGATGGCTTTACGTATTTCGAAAATTTCATCTTTTAATAAAATTAAACAACACTGTAAAATCGTTAATTTATTCTTGTTAGTTAAATCCGTAAAGCGATAAACTGAATACTGCACAAGTTCAACTGCTATGTTCCTCATATGTTCTTCCTCATGAATGCATAAATTAAGGGCACATAACAAAATCTTAGCTATAAGCGCTTCGTTTTTAGAGAATAGAATAGTTATTATACACTTTAAATTCCACAGTCGAGAATTTGTTACAATCTCTTTTGTTTCAACAAACATTTTTTCTAATGTTTTCTCAATATTTAATTCATTTGTATCTAATGATGGCCACCTCCTTAAAGTTTTCAAAGCATAATTTACCATTACATTTAAAAGTAATTCATTGCAATCGTGTTCATTCATGTTTAATAAGTGTTTAAAAACTATCTGTAAAATTGGTATACTCGGTGATACATGATTTAAAAAAGAGATGGTTTGATCGACACAGTGAGAGTTCAGAATTTTATGTACAGTATCATTATTAATTTTATTTGTACGATTAAGATATTCGGCATACAATTTTGTTGAAACGTCAATAAACTGAAAAAATCCCGGCTTTACTTTTTCAGAACCGAAAACCGACATGTTTTCATTGAAGGTAAATACATCTGTGGTAAACATTTCATCAAAATTGGACTCTTTTAATTGCAGAAATAGTGTCTCTAAAACGTAACATATTTGTGAATTACTTTCTTCTTTAGATAAATTATTCCAAATTTGTAATATTCTACGGAAGCGTAATAATTCTATACGCGGCTTCAATTTATTATCCGTACATTGTATAACATTTGAACACGAATTTAGGCATTCAATTTCAGTAGCCAATTTTTCTTTTAAATATTGTATTGTTAATAAATGACCGTGAATTACATTGACGTTCGGATACAAAGAAAGAGTACATCGTAATTTTTCAATCTCCAATGCAATTTCTAAATGTTCTGTTAATGCTGCATATGCTTTTGCAGCTAAGCGTCTAACATACAAAACAGGATTTTGAAACAGTATATGAAGTAAACGTTTTGTTTTGAATATAAAATATTGTGCAGGATAATCGATTAATTGGCAGCCACTATTTGAAAATTTTGAAAGGAGTATAAGTATATGGACGATGCTTGAATGCGAATATAATGCAGTAGAAAATTTAAAAAATTCTTTCGAAAATCTTTGCAATTCTTTCGTAATGTAATCAGTAAGTACTGGATAATGTGTAATAAAATGATTAATCGAATAACCATTTCCAAAATCCAATGTATCTCCATAACTCTGACCCACCAACCTTGGAACTATTGCACCAAACAGTTGTAGACTGGCATTTCTGAAAACATTTATATATTACTTTCGTAAAATAATGAAATATGGTTTAAATTTGTTTGGAAATATATTAGTGCATATTTCAAATAACTACCTTATTGTCCATGTTTCGGATTCCAAATATTTAAAACAAGTTAATGAAATTCTTTCCATATAAGGAGTCAACTGTGCATGTATCTCTTTATTGGCTACCAGAGCCCGTAAGAAATGCAAGTGTCTTGCTACTGGAGAATCATGTTGAAATTCCAAATGTATTATAAAATCATCTGAAGTATTATCTAACAAGTCTAACAATTTTTGTACAGCAAAATGTAAAAGAGGTCTGTCTCTGCGATTATCCCCAACAACAATTCTATGAAACATTATTGATAAACCAGCACCCCTTCTGGTAATATTTAAAGAATGTATTGTAGTATCATTTTCAAGTATACGCAGTATGTGCGTTTTTAATAAATCAGAATATTTATTTTCTTTGCATAAACATCTGGAAAGTTCAATATTACACAGTTACAGAATAATTTAATTTCTTTTTAATTGTCCTACCTGGTTAACTGTCCTACTGCTGTACCTGCAGCCTCTACTACACCTTTATGTCTACACCTTAGTAACACTGCAACTATAATATTAGTAGAACGTTTCACTATTTCATCAGAATACATTAATGATCCTATTTCACAAGCTATTTCACAGGACACCTAAACAAGAAATATATACAATTATATTTTTTTAAACATAACATTTACATTTTATATTTAAATTACCTTCAAAGACATCCAAATACAAGAAATGAGAACCTGATGTGCAGGAGATAAATTCAATTCATCATAATTAATATTGTCTACTTCACTATTCTTAATAATTTCATCAATCGCTAATCCCATTTCGGCAAATGAAGATGAATATTCTGTAAAATAAATTATAATCCCGTTTATAAAGAAACACAGATAATTTGTAAAACTACAAATTATTAATGCCCAGTGCAATATACCTTTGTTCTCAGATTTTGAAGAGATTACAGACAAAAAGAAATCAGTTGCATCTTCTAATAGAAATAGTATTTTTTCAATAAATTCTAAAGTTAAGCAAATATTTTCGGGACCGTTTTGAAAAACAATGCTTAGTAAAGCAGATAATACACCATAAAATGGTTTGTTCTGAATAATTGCTTTTAACATATCTTCTTTCATTTGAATCAACTGACTTGAAGCTTCAGTGAATAAAAAATCTGAGTATTGTAGATAAACAATATTATTACAGTTTTTATATTCAGTCTTATCAAGTAAAGAATTTAAAGGGAACCAAGTAGCTAAAATCTTTATAAGAGCTGCACCACTTTCAATTTCGTAGAACTTAGAAGAATTACAATGCTTTAATGCAATGTGGTATAACATCTGAAATAGTAATAATCCTTTTAGTTATGCATTATTGAAAAATAATGTTTGAAATGACAATATTCTTACTTGTTTCTCCATATCAAGCAAAATATCTTTATCAAAGTAATCAAGAATAACTGAAGTAGCTAGTTGCTTGATATCAAATGCAGAGTCCAATACAAGTCTTAATAAAGCAAATAAACTTTTTCTGTTTATGAAATTCCAATCTTTAGTCATTTTTAAATGTTTCTCCACTAATGCAATGTAAGAAGTATTTTCAATATTCTTGAACTTAGTCACTGTGTGTATATTGGTGTAAGAAAGTATGACTCTGTACAGATTTAAACCAACAATTTTTCGTTGGTAACAAGAACCAATTTCGAAACAATCCAACAAAAATTCATGTAACCAATGTATAATATAGTGTACATCATTTATACTTTCTGGGTTATTATCATACATTTTTATAATATTAGCATAAAATATTTGAAAATATTTAATAATTCCATCTCTCATACAAACTGATGTACTATTCGCATTGTACCATAAGAAACTTCTGATTGTGAAAAACTGATCATTATATTCATTATAAAAGTTAATTACTTGATAACAGCTTATTGCAAATCCATTTAATCTCACAACCTCATTCTTATGATTTATATAGCATTCAATTTTTGCTTGTTGTGGAAGATCAATGTGCATTTCATTAGCCATTCTTTGGAAATGTGAACGAAGAAAATGTCCTTTTATATCTTCTATCAAAGACCATAAGTATTTCAATATATTTCCATGCATTTTAATAACTGGTTCAAGCCAGTGTTTGCAAAGTAACTGAAGGGCATTATAATTTTCACTGTAATTAAAAACTTATATTTAAATTTCGATTAATTGTTATACACGAGTCACAGATCACAATTTTACTCACGTTTCGGTTGATTCCCAGTTATGAAAAAGATAATTCATTACATCTCCAAATGCTTCTTTCCATTCATTTTCGTTTAATTTTTTTACTATTGCAAGATAAACTTTTGTACCTCCTGAACGTAAATAATACTTTGTTAAGCTGGTACATAGGGAAAGTAAAAAATTATGAGATATCATAACTTTAGTATTGTCCGAAATCTCACAAACTTCTGTGATTATATCATACTTTATTTCATTTTGCCAAGAAATCTTATCTACACAGTGTCTAAATAGGAATTCTAAATAACCATCATATTTTTTCTTCATAATCTTCAGGTACATTTTAAAAATAAGCGTCGAGTTTTGTTTACTTATTTCATTGATGGCATTACACCAGTTTGAAAAAATAATTGCTTCTAATTTTTGCTCTAATAGTAAGTCACATGTGTCCCAGAAATTTGTATTCATAGTTCTTTGTAACCACATGTACAGTATTTTATATGCAAAGTAAGAGTATTTAGTATACTTTATACAGTGTTCAAATACATTATCAAAAATGAGAAGACAAACATCATTGGAATACATTTCTTTACGATTAACTTGTAAGTATCCATAGGCACATGTTAATTTGAACAAATTGGGTTCAGCAATATTATATTTCTTATAATAAAAGCATAACTCATTAAGTTCGTGTTGTAAAAAATTACTGATGTTATTTTTTACATTAATCAAAGTAGGTTGCATTGATAGTAAAGCAAAAAATGTGTGAGAAGCTAATAATACTCTATCTCTTCCAGTTTCTGTATTTATAATAAATATTTCAAGAATATATGTAAGTGCTGGTTGCAATTGTTTCAAATTTTCATCATTCCATGACTTTTTATGTGATGAAGCAAAATTGATCAATTCCTGAAAAAACAAGATAAAATATTTCAATGTATAAGTAATATTGCATTATAGATCACAGTAATAAAGTTTAAGAATTATTGCAATAAAACTACTAACTCTGAGAATAACTGTATCCTCTGAACATGTTTGTAGTTTTTTGATTAAACAATTCAATTCCTGATTTTCCACACACATTTTGTTATTAAAATTCAAAAACACAAATATTAATATGATTGTTACATTGTATTCTTTATATGTTACTTCAACATTTTTTGTTCCCTAGTTATATGAACTCGTATTTGTTGTTTGAAAATTAAATACTGCTTTTGTAGAAACTTGAGCAGGTGTATTAGATGTTTCTGATTTACTACCATCAAGGCTGCATGTCCTGCAATGAACACATAATAATATTACTTTTTCAAAACTTAATTTCTCAATAATTGTTAAAATAAATATAAAATATAATTAATTATTGTAAAGCCAGAAAATATTAAAAAATTTAAAAGATGATCAATTATTGATTTAAATGTAAACAAGCATATTATTTAGCAGCCATTAAATGAACCTTTCGCTTATAATTTTCTAAGTGCTAAGTAACTGAAAGAAATAAAATGAACTGTTCTTAATATAAATGGATTAAGGATTGTCATACAATAGAAGACAGTATTTTGTTACTTTTAAGCATTTGTTTTATTATAAGTAATAAAAATAAGAGAACTTAATTTGAAGACAGTTCAATGACTATTAGTTTAAATGGACTAAATTATAAATTACAATTGCTAAATTAGTCTTATATTTTATGTTGCTTTTCTTTCTTCAGGAACATACCCCCCTTGTTCTAGTTGTTCTTTGAATTTCATGTACTCTCGTTTACGATCAAAGTGTTTTACCTATTGAAAAGTGATAAAATGAAGGTTGATTAAAGAGAGAAAATCTTACATGTAACAAAACTACAAATTATCATTGATTTCTATATATTATTGTCACCAAAATTAACATAATAGTAGTTAGGTTTTTTAATCTTTCAAAGTTAACATTATGTAAAATTTACCCATAGTGCAGGACAGAATTTCTCATACTGATCTCTAAATTTCTTACATTCTGTATCAGATTTACCCTCATCGAGACATTTCCAATATTCATCCCTATGATTCCAACACTTTGTACGATCCTCTTTACTTGGGAAAGACATACTAAAATCAATGAACATTGATATTTAATAATTTGAAATTTACTTGCTGTTTTATATTCTTTTTTATTCTTTCAAAGTCTTTTATTAAACTCTGATATATTTCTAAATTTAAACAGTGCAATATACCAAAATGGAATTAGATTTATACTTACCTACTCTAGATGTTTTACAATTGAAACTCTGTAACAAATATAGGAATTTTCTGCGATAAATTTACACACTTCTTAGTGAATTAAAAATAACAACCTCAAAATAAAACACATTACATAATCTTATACTAATATATATAATGTGTGCACTAAGAGGAAACAAAATTTAAATAAGAAAGGTATAAAAATGATTTGCAAAAATGTGTGAGGACTTATGATTTTTTAACCTGTTTTCCTTATATTGAACATCTTGTATATTTTAGGTTAATTAATTAAATTTAATATCATTCATTAAATAAGTTTTTAATCAGAAGTAATATAATTTGTACGTGTAAAGAAATATATATTATATCGTACAATAAAATTGCACATATTTTAAATATTTTATTTCTATGACATAAAATAATAATAGCGACTAACCTGTCTATTTATTTTTATTAAATAGGCTGTGGAATATTACAGCTATTGATATTGTAACGATCTTATTGCAATGTTTAAATCAATTCTCATAAATTATAAAAATATATAATTTTTACTTTTTAGTATTTCAAAATGTTTTAAACACAGGTTGTAGTGTTTCAACTAGATATATTGTTCATGATATATTTTTTCAACAAGTATCCCATAAAAAATATCAATTTCTTATTTAAATCGGATCAACGATACAATTTTTATTGAAATCCTATATCAATACGCAGGCACGTGCATTTCGATAATGACATACCCCATGAATTGAAAAATTAGTGTTGCCAACATATAAACTAAACATGTCTTTTAGGAATATACTTTTTCAAGCAAATTCACAATATTCCTATTAGTATAGTAAAATTTTATAATAATTATGAATTAGCAATTGAAAATCTCAGACAAGGAAATAAATAAATGAATCAAATTTCAATTACCTAAATTCTTAAATTTATTTTTCATTCTTGTTTTATTATGTACAAATACAAGTGTTACAGTGTATAATTAAAAATAATTATAAATTTTATTTTTACAATGCAACACTCAATATAGTGCATGAAATATGAAGCATTTAACATTATTAACAAATTGGTTCCTATGTAAGATAAATTATAACTAAAATAATAACAATGATAGTGAATAACATTCCACCAACTAAAATAAATCCATCTTGTTTTGTTCTGTGTTCTATTAGCCTCATTGTTGTATTTGAAAGTCCTAGAGTATTTCCAATATCTATTAATCGTCTGTGAGCTCCTTTCAAAGTTATCCTTTGTGATCTCAAGTTATCTAAAATATTACTCCCACTTTGAAGGAGATCATCTACTCCATGAATTGCATTTTGTAAGCTAGAATTATGTTGCACATTGTGGTCTATCATAATGTCAACTTGAGCATTTGTAGTAAATTTTCTCGACAATAATGCTTCCCTTTCTGCTTCTTCCCTTTGTTTCATTAACACTTTTCTGCGCCAAGAATTTAAAGCAGCTGTCAGATGACGGCTGTCATACTTCAATTGATCTACTCTCATTTTAGCATTTTGTCTTTGAAATGTAGGGCCTTTAAGGCACAGTATATCTAGTCTTTCGCAATTGCTAAAAAGTACAGACGAATCATAATTCAATAGCTGTCAACCACCTTTATTACACATTGACTAAATGTGGATTTTAATATGAAAATCTATAATTTCTGTGTAGATTTTTTAACTATATAAAGTGAAGTTTTCTGACTACCTGTTGATAAGATTTATTTTTGATTCAATATTGTCTTCTATTTCCTGTATGTTCAGGTTAGGCGACGTTCTCTCAAGTTGTGAGAAAAGATGCTGTGTGTCTTGGACTAATTTGTTTGTTTGATGATACAATGTTTCCATGTTTTTTAATAAATATTTCTGTGAATCTTTTAACGATGAAAGTTATGACGTGTACCATACAAATGCTACTGTCAGATTGGAGACTTTGAACAGTGGTTATCAAAATTCTTCCGCTAATTAGTTTGAAGAATTTACTAATATACAAAATATCGAATATGAGAAACACTGTACAAGCAGAAAAAAAGAGAAATTATAAAATGTGTTATATATATTTTATTGTTCCGAGGACAAGTATCTTCTTTTCATTATTGTTGATATCTGGCAATATATATATATAGAAGTTTAGAAATATTGAGATTTAGTTGCCTAGAGACTTTTGAATCTACGGAGACAGGGAACTAGGAATATAGGACCTAAAAATTTGGGGAGTTTTGATATAATACACGCCAAGTTTGGTTTTTCTAACATATATATATAAAAACTGTTACATCTATAGATTAGTTGATGTATGTCAAATATTTTTATTAGTACGAAATTTAGGTAAGATAAAGTTAATTTCTCATTATAAATTCATTTCTTATTATAAATTAAGTATTTGTAATTTTTATACGTTTTCAGTGAGTTTCCAGCTACCTATTTATAATAATGAAATACATAAAAATAGGTTAACAGTTGGATTGATATCACTACATACATCTTATTTTAAATAGGAATCATATATTTTTACAAATGGATATTGGTGAATTGCTCTCGTATAAAGTACGTTTACGGTAAAATTATAAGACGTTTACATTGTTTTTAATTTTTGTTAATTCGGTAATAACTTTTATAGCCACCAAACACACCAAAAAGGCCAATTGCAGGAGAAGATGATGATGAAGATGAATGGGAAAATGCTAAAAAACCAAAAAGGGTAATTAAAACTCCTTATCATGCACGTCAAAGACAGATAAGAGAAGTTGAAGTTACACCTGTCAGAAGTAGTGAACCTCCTACACCTATAAGAGCTGCATTACCATCTCCAGCAAATGATGTGGTTGAACCACAGTTGACAGAAAAAGAGAAACAAGATATTTTGAAATATGTAGAGACAGAAGCACCTGAGGTAGAGGCATTGGATGAAGCAACGCTTAAAAGAATGATCTTATTATTTGAGAAAAGAGCACTTAGAAATCAAGAAATGAGAGTAAAGTTCCCTGACCAACCAGAAAAGTATGTTACTTTTAAAGTAGGATATATAAAACATTGAATTTCAAATTTAAATATAAAACTAAAATATAATTTTAATTTTAACAGGTTTATGGAATCAGAGGTAGAATTACATGAAACTCTTCAAGAGCTTCATGTAGTAGCTACTAATCCAGATCTTTATCCACTGATGGTGGAGTTGGGTGCTGTCCCTTCTTTGCTTGAATTATTATCACATGAGAATACAGATATAGCAGTTGGTGTTGTAGATCTTTTGCAAGAATTAACAGATGTAGATATTTTACATGAAAGTCAAGAAGGTGCAGATACTCTCATTGATGCTTTACTAGAGCAACAAGTTTGTGCTCTTCTTGTACAAAATCTAGAAAGGTTGGATGAATCAGTTAAAGAAGAAAGTGATGGTGTTTATAATACATTAGGTAATTTATTGTTAATAAATTCGCAATTATTGAAGTTCAATATAATATTGTATGCATTTTTTTGTAGCTATCTTTGAGAATCTTTTGGAATTTAGGCCTGATTTATGTACGGATGCAGGAAAGCAAGGGTTAATGCAATGGTTGTTAAGAAGAATTAAGACAAAAACACCATTTGATGCTAATAAACTTTATGCTAGTGAACTTTTATCTATTCTTTTGCAAAGTACACCGGAGAACAGATTACTTCTTGGTGAACTCGATGGAATTGATGTACTATTGCAACAATTAGCAGTATGTACCATTCTCTTTTCTTATTTCATATTTATCATAAATTGTTGGTAATTTTGATTACTTTCAGTATTATAAACGACATGATCCTCAAACTGCTGAGGAACAAGAAATGATGGAAAATTTATTTAATGTGTTATGTTCAAGCCTAATGACAACTGTAAATAGAGATAGGTTCTTAAGAGGAGAAGGATTGCAACTTATGAATTTAATGTTGCGGGAAAAAAAGATGTCAAGAAATGGTTCTCTAAAGGTAATAATATAATCTAAAATACAGTATAAATGTGAAACGTTGTAATATTAATAGATTATACTACATTTCAGGTATTAGATCATGCAATGAATGGTCCAGATGGGAAAGATAATTGCAGTAAATTCGTTGACATTCTTGGACTAAGAACTATATTTCCATTATTCATGAAAACACCAACAAAGAACAGAAAAAGAATGCTTACTGCAGAAGAGCATGAAGGTATTTCTTCTAATTATTTTCTAGTTTATCACAGTCTTAACATATTTTAATGAATTGTTTTTCATAGAACATGTAGTATCAATCATAGCAAGCATGTTAAGGAATTGTAAAGGGCAACAACGTCAAAGATTATTAAGTAAATTTACAGAGAATGATTATGAGAAAGTTGATAGATTGATGGAACTTCATTTCAAATATCTTGAGAAAGTAGAAGAAGTTGAAAAAAATACAAAGGTTAGTAGTTTAGTAGAAGCATTACTTTCAGATATATTAAATAATGTAATTATTAGGAAGACGAAGATGAAGAAGAATCGTACCTGAGAAGGTTAGATGGAGGATTGTTTATTTTACAGTTAGTAGACTATGTACTATTAGAAGCATGTACTGGTTGCCCTCCAGCAGTGAAACAACGAGTAACACGAATTTTAGCTCAAAGAAGGGCATCTCTTAAAACTATTAGGCACATCATGAGAGGTATATATTTTTATATAGAATATTTTACACATAATTATTGACTTATCATGGACACATTTCTTATTTTATTAGAATATGCTGGAAATCTTGGCGATGCTGGCGATTCAGAATGGAGAGAAACAGAGCAACAACATATATTGCAATTGATTGATAAATTTTGATGTAGACTTTTTAATGAAAAATTTGAAAATTTCAATTTTTTCGCAATTTTTAAATTTTTACCAAAAGTAATAGCGCCGTTTCACATTAATTGCTAATAAGTATGTAACATACAGGACATCGAATTCTTTTTTATACGTAGGAATTACAAAAAACTGTTTATAAAAAAATTAAGTGTGTTCCTTATATCTTAACTATTTGAAGTATGCATTTTACCAAACTATACATTGATCAGTTGTTTTATTTGTGGTGTAATTCTATGTTAATTAGTTCATATTAGTTTATTTGATTAATAATGCTATGGTGTTCAGTAGCATTGAACTTGACTGAAAATTTATTGTTGGTTCGTGTCAAAAACTTTTTTATTCACAAATGAAATATTTCAGAAAAATATCTTAGATTTATGTCAATAAAATGGGTGAAGATAAAGTGGTGATTTCAAGTTACCATTCATATCATGTCAGTTCTGCACAAAATAATTTCAAGATTAGCCTATGTTGTGCACCCATACGAATCTGAAGATACAGTTTATAATTTGCGAAATTACTACAGTGAAATATTGCTGTCTGATTATTTATGGAATAGCTGTTATCGCAAGAAGTTTGGCCTTTATGAAAAATTTATCACTAATGGTAGTTGTGTGCAGTACTTTCAAAGATTCAGTGATCATAGCAATGTATTCCATTGTCAAAAATACTTTTCCTATCTGGTATTTGTCGTTTGTCAGGTAAGTACATATTTTATTTGAACTTTCCACAAAAAATTTTAAGCGAATTTTAAGAAAAAAAATATGCGCGCTTTTTCTCGTTTGTCGTAACCATGGTGATGTACAGTAGCTGATACTGTTATAAGATTTCCTAAGAAACTAACAAGGTAGGCTAAATAGTCTCCACCAATGTTTAAAAAATATTTTAATTTAAACATTTGGAAGAATTTAGAAATTTTGGAATTCGGAAATCAGAGAAGTTATATGTTAAGTTTAAGAATTTACAGATTTAAATATTTAACAATTTAGAAATTATCATTTAAAAAAATGTTCAGGTTTACATATTTAATTTCTGAAAATTGAAGACGAGTGGTGGGAGACCCATTCCCCTACGCTAAAGGAAGCCTATGTAGCACCGAGTGTATGGTGCACGCACGCGCCTTAATTCGATACATACTCGATCGTGGCTCCGTATTTTCTTAGTATCGTAGCAACGATAATTGCGCTCATAACTCAGTAAGATCGAGAAGACACAGTTAATTAATCCAGTTTTAAATTTATTTGCAATCGCGTATTCGGTACATACGTGTTTGGTGCTCAGGAGTAAGCTTTCTACCCTTCAACACGATACCAAACAGAAATGTTGTTATGATACGAGGAGTGGGAAAGGGGGGTCAACGCTCGGTGAACGATCGATCACGATTGGCTTATCCGTGCGACTCTCGACCAATCAGAGCGCGTGCTGCGCCCTTACACGAAAGTTTGCTGCACGAGAGATGCCAGTTTGCTACTGCAAGCTTCAGAGGTGCGGTCGTTGGTCGCGTAAGCCGGCTCGCGGTGTTTTCGCTGATCTTTATTTCACGTTTCTCGCGGCGTGCGAACCAAAGACACTCGTAATAAACATGCCAAAAAGGAACGATATTCGTGCGTGACGCGAGTGTTCATTTCTGTGCATCATCTTTTACTGTGCTGCGATGACGACCAGATAAAATCGGAGGAATCTACATCGAGAAAAGTGTCCATTCCTCGAAGAAGCAACTACGGTATGTCACTTGTCATTTTCATCCCTTATTTCGGGATTTATATGTAGATGTTATCGATTGATATTGTGCTTTGGAACGGAACAACCGTATGTGCACATACGAGCGTGCTCGTTAACACGAAATTTTTATTCATAAACTCGGAGTAGCGTTGGAAATAATTTCGATGTCCGTTACAGTCAAAATTTCAAAAATTCGTTGATTAAGATATGTATATATATACTTTCATTTTATTGTATTTGTTTATGTAGTTAGATTACAAATAATTAAGAAAATATTCATAAAAGTCAGCATCCTTGCTACCGCCATTTACAACACTATCACGTATTCATAATTACCGCTTACCCCGTTCGATTCCGGATCATGTTTCGTCGTTACTAGACTACCAAAAGCCTGAGCGAGATTATTTACACCGGCATAGTTAAATCGATAGTAGATTAAATTTAGTCACAGGAATATCGTAACAAGCTATCGTTCACTTTTCTCTGGCGCTAACTCGTTCCTTACATCGAATTCCCAAAATAGCCGGTTTTTACAATGTCGTTAAAATTTATAGCTTTCTTCGTTTCGAAACGAATTCCTCATTTTTAGGCTGGATATCGAAAAATTTTGTTCTGTGTCGATCTGTCGTGATTCGATCTTTGGTTGTTTTGCGATATATTTTACGATGAGAATTTAGCATTTTGGTGAATCGTTAAGTCGCGCTAAAATTAGACCGTTTAAAATTTATCTGAAAACTGATTTACGCGATTATAATGCAGATTCTTTGAATAATACGGTACGAAGATGTTCGTAAGGTTTCCCGTTCGGTAATTTCAGCTGTAGAAGCGTCATTGCGTCTCAAAGCCAATTTCGTGATCGTGTACCTGCTGCTACGGTATGACGTAACGTTGCTACTTCCGATTTGTTGTTACGTGCACGTGCCACGCAGCAACGTTTGTCACGTGCTCTATTGCTGGAGCAATACTACTAGTTCTACAACAACCTGCCCAAATTAGATCTGTTACTACTGATTATCGATACGTTATCGACATCTTACTTTTTTATTCAAACTTAATCTAACCTGATATATAATATTATCGTATTGATATGTTTATTTTTGTTTAATATTTGAATACACTTTATTTTAGAATGATAAAATTTTGTACTTTAGGTTACATTTTATCATTAAGTTCTGTCAGATTAGGTTAAGTTTTAAATCTACTGAATTAGATCACCAGGATAATAAATTAAAAAATTTAAGAAGTCGTAAGATTGTATAAATTGTCGGTATCAAAAATGAATACAGTGTAATATTGTTTTTTGAACATTTAGAATATTATCATCGTGTTAAAGAAAGAGGAGGGAAGTGTTTAAACGTCCCGCGCAGATTTCGTTTCTGGATTCGACGAATATCGAGTTCTCTCGCGTATCGATATAAATTCAGGCAGCGTCGCGTTCGATATAAATTGATAGCACTGTTCACACGAATGTAAACATTCTTAAACGGAGCGTTGGCAAATTTTTAAACAAATTTAGCAAGCGCCGATATTCGCGGGAGAACAAAACTTTAAATTAAATTGGAACTAGTTATCTCGGAGTTGAGTTACTTCTTTCCTCGTGGGACGGTGGTAATTGTTTCTCTAAATTACATGCTCGTGTGGGTTGATCACGCTGCATGACTGTACATCGGTTAGGGGGAACAAAACGAGATTTTTCAAACTTTTTTACTCCGGGAATAGAATATTAGCACTTTAACGTCAGTGTATTATTTTCCACTCGAGTTTTATTTACTCTTTCACGTGTTAATCATAATTAAAAAAATGAAAGATTTTACAACGTAAATAAAATTTTTCGATTTAACTTAAGCCGGGATATCGGGATAACATGGCTTGTATAAGTCGTTAGTTACCCACTGTTGACATATCATTATACTTTGCCGTAAAAAGAACCCGATTAATTGAGAATAATTGCATCTTAATTTGCAAAAGTTAAGTGGAAAAAGGATGAAAGTTTGCGGTTGTGATACGGGGAAGTTTAATCCTTTTGCAGTGGTTTATCGATTTACGACAGTGCAGAATACACGTTGGTGCATCACTATGAATGCTGCAGACGACGTGTGACCTTGAACGAGTAGCTCGCGAAATCCAAATAGAGCCCGGGAAAATAAACGCTGTTACATACGTATCAACGCTCCAATTCACCATTTCGCTCCTAATGTAATATACTATTTAATTCTTCACGACTTGCTTTTCGATAAAAGTTCACAAATTTGTCAAACATTTCCATCATCATGCATTAAAAATCGAGTAGAGTATCATAAAAGTTGTATTCGAAGGTTTCCGATCAATAATTCGAATCAGCAACATCGACACGTTTTTCTTGCGACGTAAAAATTTTCTTAATTTCACAAACATTTTGATCATCACATCCGAGAGATTCAGTAAAGTTCGATACCAAATTTGTACGACAGAAACTGGACGTTAAAGGTTAATAATTAATCGAAATGGTACGTCGATGTGGTCAGTTTTGCAAAACCGCTGATTATTTCGCTTTATCAAAGGATTCGCAGCATGTTTGCACGGTTGTTCGCAAAAGGCCGTGTAACCAGCGCGTTGCGGATAAATTGAAATACTTATTTAAGGAGGATCCAATTAGGCTGCCATTCCTGGAATTGCCGCGGCCAGGTTTACGCCATTATCGATCAAACTGTCCCAGATTCGCGAATTCTTCGTTGCTGAAGCGTTCGTGTACAGTGTATAAGACCGAAGGTATCTCGTCAGCTTCTACGCGAAACTTTCTGCTTCGAGTCCAACTATTCGACGTAGCAATAGTTCTTTTTCTTATTTTCTTCGTATTCCTTTCCGTTATCGAGTCTTTTCAAACTTTCCGCGTTATATATATCTTCGATCTTCTTCGATAAAAGGCGAATCTTCCAAACCTCTTTTTAAACCTTAAATTCTGCAATTTTCAGCTTTTGAATCGTAAGGGTTATTAGCTCTTTGCAGACAAAACGACTAGCTACTCGAAAAGCCTCTGTTAGCCATCCGAGGTATCGAAAATACTTATCGAACAAGTGTTTCACGATATTTTGTCGAATCGCAAATAATTTTCTGTTCGTTTTGTCGTCGGGGCTTTGATCTTTCGTCTCGAACGAGGGTTAAAAAGCTGAAGATCGCGGGAAATTGGGAAAGCTCGTTTCCTTCGAAATTGAAAGTACAGAATTAGCGGGTGAAAAGCGTCTGGAGTCAAGTCAATTAGCTAGAAGTGGACGGAAATCGAGTGTACTGAAGGAATCTCTCTTACGAGTGACTTTTTCAACCCTTTCCACCGGTGTGTGTTCGCATAGATTTTTTTCTCCTCGTCGTCTGCTCTCCGAAAGACTCGTACGGCCACTTAAGTCGCGAAAATGCTGAGCGTGCTGCTCAAGATTGATTCGTGAACATGCCTGCATGGAACGTGTAAACTGCTTTCGTGAAATTTACGTTAATTTTTAGGTCAGATCGAAAGATGAACCGCGGTTATTTGCATATAAACATATCAAAACGGATGCTCTCTCGACACGAACTCCCCTTTCACGCCGAGATTTGCATACAATCACTCTCGTAAGAAAATTAGTCGACTTCTCGTTTCATTTATCGCGAAGATAGGATTAATTAGGATTCCCTCTATTTACGATTACGAAGATTAGTCTCGATGCAACGACTCAATCCTGACCTAATCTTACGCCGACTTACCCTCTCGCGACCTAACGCAACGAAGACGAGTCTAATCGTTTCTATGCTTGCATCACTCGTTTAAGTGCAACTATCTCATCGAATAACGCGTTCTCAACGTAATCGTTCTCCCGCTTTTGCAAGAATCGCGTTGCATTAACGTCGTAGCGCGAATCGAGAGGCGCGCTTCCGTGGGTAGAATCGTGCGCACTGTTCAAGAACAATCATTTGCATACACACACTGGTCGATTATGTCACCGTCAACCGAACGATCGTATCTTTGTTCTCCGCGTTGCCGTTGAGACGTTGTTTCTCATTCTGCTCGGGTGTATCGTACGGTATGCATCTTATTCTTCTTCCTTCGAATCATAATCTGACGCATCATTCGCGCCCGGTATTTGACGATATCGGTCCGACTTCATCGTAGAGAAAAACACTGATAGAGAAACGTGTAAGAAGTTAAAAACTGACGTTGATTGAAAGTTGATTGTTGGTTTAAAGTAAAAAGTAATGCTCACGATATGATAAATAGAGAAAGCAATTCCGATGCACGAGAATTGCATGATAATAAGAGTCCGATCCAGCGGAACGCTTTACTTTTTCAATCTCAATTTTCACGCGATTAGTGACCGAGAAAAATACACGAATAGACGGAGAAGAAGAAGCGGAGAGTAGAAATCGCGAAAGTGAACGGTTCTGCCCGAGTTCTTGTGGACTTTCTACATCAAAGAGAGCCGATTCGCGGCGTTTTGCATACGGCCGCGAGTTCAAATGCATCGTCGTTCCCCTAACAGCAATTTAACCGTGGCTTCTGGCAAGAAACCGCCTCTGGTCGTCGAGAATTGCGCGACCGACGGTTTTCTTCTCGGAATCGCTTTACAAGACCCGCGTCACTTAGCAACGCTTCAGGGTGGATGCTGACTTTTCCCGATCGTTTGATTAATTATGGGAACGCGGAGAGGCAATCTTTCCAGGCTCTTTGCGGCCGCGAAAGGTGTCGATGTTTCTGTTAACGCGTTCGTGGGCGTATCACTGTACAAAGAAGCACGTTATAACGCGTTACAATGACTTTACAGTATAAAGTCGAATGGCCTGCTCCAGTTTAGCTTTCGTCGAAACGATTCTCCTTTTATGGACGATCGATACCGTTCGCAAATCGGTTGCTCGCAAGCCGTGTTGACGGTCGATGAATAGAAGCTTGTAAACGGGAAGAGACGTAATCGTTCTTTTTGTTACAACTTTCAAGTTTTATGGACGTCGTGTGCGGGGTGTGTAGATCGCAGCGACGTTATCGGTCCCAATTACCTT